AAAAAAAGAAGAGAGATGTCATGTAGTTGCTCATCTTGAATACCGTTACTAATAGCTGCTTTTGCTTCTTTTTCTTCTTCTTCTTGAGATTGTTGCTTCTCTTAACGTTGAGATTGTGAAGCGATAACACTGCCAATCTTAGTAAGACTACCCACCACAACTATAGATAGTAGCAGTACCGGTACATCACTTGGATGGAGATTGAGATTCACCAACCAGTGCCTAACATGCTCAGTATACCAGTACATAGCTGTACTATTAGTCTCTGTCATGGTATCATTGGATATGCAGGTGGTACTGGTGGCAGTATTATTGCTAGTACCGATAGTTGAAGGGTAGATGATACCCATTCTCACTTGGAGTTTTTTTCTGGAAAGAAAGCTACCGTATGATACTAGATAGAATAATAGTAACAGATACTGATCAACAGCCTGCTGGGATTATGCCATGAAGAATGCAGAGTGTGGATCTCGATCATACATGTAGATCAGATAGATCAGATAGATGTATCAACGAGCTATCAATGGCATCTTGCTGTGGCTTTCTTCGCTCAGTGATCCGAGATGTTTCGTTGACGCTTCTTCTCGGATCATGGGATCTTTGGAGCATCAATTTTAACCTTATCCTTATCAAACGATCTTCGATCTTCCAAAATCCACGTCTGAAAAAAATCCAAATTTGCCGTTGCACTTTTCTGAGAATTCCTCAAACCTCACAACAGCAAGCAAACAGCTCTATTTAGTATTTTATTTCTTTTAGCAAACAGCCTCCATGGAACCTCTGAGCATCCTTTCCAAGCATTATGGCCATGAGGAGGAGGAACGCAACAACCTGCTGTCCACTGCTAGTATTATTAATATCCCATCCATAAGAACTCATTGCAGTTCTGCCTACAGATGGTGTCGCAGCAGAGTTTCCTGGCAAACCATGCTGGAAGCAGTAGTGCTGTGGACGGCTCTCATTCTCTTGCTTGTCAAGATTACCTATCATACCCCACAACCACCCGAAACGGTGCAACTCTTTGGGACCAACTATACCGTGGCAAATACGACCTACATTGTACAAACCAGTCAAGGGCTTCGAGGTAGCATTGCTACTGAAATTGGATTCTTGACGGCATTGACTCGGTTGAAAATTTCCCAAAACCAACTTTCTCAAAGCATCCCCTCCGAAAGGATTGCTCACAAAATTTAACGTTCAGTGCCGCCAGCAACATTGTCTGGCCTATTCCTTCTGAAATTGGACTCCTCACCCGGTTGGAAGGGTTGTACTTGGACCAAAACCAACTTTCTAGCAGTGTTCCTACCCAAATTTTGGAATCCCTCACGTACCTAACCTCCTTGGCTTGGACCACAATCAACTGTCCGGCAGTATTGCCACAGAAATTGGATTACTGCCCTCTCAAACTTGGTTGAGTCTATCCCACAACCATTTCTCCAATAGCGTTCCATCGGAAATAGGATTGCTCACATTTTTGCAGGGATACTTGGACTTGTCACACAACCAATTGTCACACAGTATTCCTGGCGAAATTGGACAATTGACCCAGTTGGAGACGTTGAAATTAGACAACAACCAATTGACCGGCAACGTGCCCAAAGAACTGGGATGGTTGATGGGATTGAACGATTTGAGGTTGCAACGCAACCAATTGCCCGGTCAAGTGCCCACGACACTTTGTCGCTCTGGAGTCAAGATTGTGCAAGTCAATGGGCCTCCCGATCCATTTCCCGTCGAATGTACCTGCCAATCCTGTGTATTTGGTGGCCAATAACTACCGCAATAGCTTATAAGGCGATGGACGATCGAGTTTTGGATCTTTTTTGTGTTTCTACTTGTATGCATGCGTCCAGTCAGAAGAAGGGTATTCTGATATTATTATGAATTCAATAGTCGGATGTCACAGCAAGTTGTCATAGCTAACTATAGCTGTGTTTGTGCATTTCCTCGCTCTTGGTGCTCCAGGCTCAGCCCCCTCGAATGTTGTGTCGATCTGGACTGTCACTCGACTCATGCCTGTCCCGATTCCAGTTCTATCTATCGTAAGAGGTCACAAATAGATCATTGCGCAGAAACGAGCTTGATTACCCAAGTTCCTTTGCGGGGCCTGCGTCGTCAAAAATCGTCCATCTTCTAGCTATAGCTAGCCTCATGTAGCATTGGACGACACTGCCGAAAACGATAACTCTTCCGACGTTTTGGCTCCCGTTACTTGCTCGGGAGATCGCAAGGGACTGGGATTGTATTGGTAATCCAAGGTGTCGTCCAATGTCGACAGGTCCGCCCACGTCGTCTCCTTCCTCGATATTCGAACTGACATCCGAATAGTTGGCTTGAGAGTCGCCTTCTTGCACGAGTACAATTCTCGACAGGCAACCTTGTAGTCATAGGGGAGACTGGGATTGGCCGTAGTATCATCCAGAGACGTATCGGCTGCGGGGGTGTTTTCGGGCAATGGGTCACCCAAGGTACTCACTTCTTCGTCCACCCGCAGTTCAATTTCCGGTCTCCGGGTGGGATCCATTGGCGTGGCGGCGTGGCTCATGCTTTCCACCGAGAAAAAGTCCAGTCCAGCCACTGCGTCTAGGCGTGTTGTGGATCCTTGACCGCGCTGACGCTTGGTCGCGAGCATAAAAGAGCAACGCCGCCAGAGTAATGCCCGAATGGCTCCCACGACCGCCCCCACCACAACCCCCAATGTGATCTCTTCATTCATCATCCACACCGTCATCCTTGTTCTCCGGATCGCGTGGTATTTCTTGCTCTTCCATCGATGCCGCAGGAATGACCACAATGGCGGTACTGCTGTCCAATTCGGAGCGAATGGATGTCAAAGCGGCAAAATTGGGGTCGCCACTGGATTTCAATTCGTCGATAAAGACTTGTTGATCCTCTGGCGAATCAAAGGCAGCACCCACGTAGCGCCGCGTATCCAGTTCGTCCACAATGGTATGCACCGCAAAATTCACATCGTACTCAATCGTCAGGATCCCTGATGTCCCTGCTTGCCGCGCCTTGGGTACAGCTTGTGGAGTTTGGGAGCGTACTTCCACCTGCATCGACCGAACCAACTTGATCACTGCCCAACACCCGAATCGCTTCGTTGGTAATGGCGCTCTCCGTGGCATTTTTCCAAATCTCCAGACTATCCGCTGGTAAGAACGCTGGCACGACTTCCAACACCAAAACTGCGAGCTTCAATTCCGCTTGACGAAGTGGAAAGGTCGATGCTACACTTGGTGACGACGTGGCTGGGGCACTACCGCTTGGACCACCAAATGACGGTGCCATTGTTGACGGACTCTGTAAATTCTCATTGTTGGGTTGTGCCGACGGGGACGGCAGTCCCGCTGTTCCAGGCAAGGAAACGGAGGATGGAATTTGCATCACGCCCAGCGAGGGCTCAGAAGAAGGTATTACGGAAGGGACTAGGCTGGGACGGGTCGATGGAGCCAAGCTTGGCCCAGTGGATGGAACGAAGCTTGGTGCAGCAGACGGACCCATGGATGGAGAGGCTGTAGGGCGTCGGGAAGGCTGCAAGGATGGTCTTGCTGTAGGAGCAACTGTTGGTTTGTGGGTGGGGTTGCGGGTCAACGTGTCACTCCGAATACAATAATCCGTAAAGGAAGACGTGTCCACGCCAGAACACCCCGGTGGTGCCGGATCCCCAAAATCTCGTTGAAAGCAAACCAATCCAGCTTGACAATCTTCCGAGCCGTTGCAATCTCCTTGGCACTGACCCAACAATGGCGTTGGTGCTGGTGATGGACGTCTGGTTGTCGGTGCAACTGTAGGGGATGGCGTGGGCGCCTTTGTATTAGTGGGCATGGGAGTTGGTTGTCGAGTAGGATTTGACGTGGGTCGATATGTGGGTCTGGCTGTGACGGGTCTACTCGTGATGAACGAAGTTTGGACCACTGTAGGCACTGGTGTGGGCACTGGCGTGGGTCTCATAGTCGTTGGTTGTTGTGTTGGCACGGGTGTTGGCCTGGCTGTTGTGGGACGTGCTGTGGTTGGCCGTGTCGTGGGAACCGGAGTGGGAACGGGAGAGGGTCTTTGCGTTGGTCGGTTAGTCGGTGCAGGAGTTGGTTGCAGAGTTGGTCGTTCCGTTGGAGTTTGAGTTGTTGGACTTGGTGTTGTGGGGAAAGGAACTGGCATACGCGTCGGAGATTCTGTTGGAGGTTTAGTTGGATGCATTGTAGGAGGCTCTGTTGGCAGCCGAGTGGGATCGGGCGAAGGCCTAAGAGTTGGAGAAGGAGTTGGTCTGTTTGATGGAACATGTGTGGGCGTTGCAGTGGGTCTATTTGTTGGCATTGGAGTTGGGTTTAATGTTGGTTGTTGTGTTGTGGGTATTGGTGTTGGCCAATTAGTAGGATAAGGCGAAGGTCTAAGAGTTGGAGGTAGGGATGTGGGTGATGGTGTTGGCCAATTAGTGGGAAAAGGTGAAGGTCTAAGAGTTGGAGGCCCTGTTGGTTGCCGTGTGGGACCAGGTGTCGGCCAAAAAGTTGGCCAAAAAGTAGGACCTGGTGTTGGATCTAATGACGGCATTCCAGAGGGATCAGGAGACGGTCTTGGCGTTGGTTGGAATGTCGTTGGCCGCTCTGTTGTAGGCGCACGGGAGGGTTCTTGGGACGGTGCTTGCGAAACAGAAGGACCCATGGAGGGTGCCGCACTGGGAAAGGATGTTTGTTGAATGGTCAATGATGTGAGAGGAATCTGTTGATCTGCAAAGTATTGATTCATGAGTACTACAAAGGAAATGCGCATGGTGGGTATGGGGAGTAGACCTTGTACGGGTTCCGTTTGTTTGGAGAAGACCGAGTACCCCACCCGTTCAATAGAAATGGCGGCCTCGGCTGCATTGTCATTGTCGTTCTGTTGTTGCAAGTTTCGCTGTTGTGTTCGATCCACATCGACTGTAATGTGGTGAATATGGGCTGTTTGACAAGATCCTTCGTCCGGTGCAATTCTATCATAAGTGTTTAGAAAGGCATCAATAAGCACGTCATCCGATACGGCAGATGTGTCGAAAGCTTCCAAAAAGACTTGATAGTACTCGAGTACATTCGTGCGATTGGCAATGCAGGGAGTGGGAGCTGCTGTCGTGGGTGTATTGGTGGGATTGATTGTCGTTGGCATTCTCGTAGGACTATTTGTGGGTGCTCTATAGATAGTGGGAAGAAAGGTTGGAGTGGCGGTGGTGGCTGGTATGGTTGGTGTTTGAGAAGGTTGATTGGATGGAGCCATGGATGGAATGCCTGTACCTTTTGTGGGAGTGTACGATGGATGTGACGAGGGAATGTCGGATTCTTGGTCGGATGGCGCTTGTGAAGGCAAAAGGGAAGGTTGATTGGAAGTTTGTGGTGTTGGGAGAATGGATGGCTGATCTGAAGGGTAACTAGATGGCTGCATATATACAGATGGCTGAATAGATGGCATGACGGATGGAACAGCTGACTGAATAGCATTGGTTGGGCTCTGAGTGCTAGTGTTGTTTGTGTAAATGGAAGGAGGATTGGACGGTTGCCGTGACAGCGAAGGCATGCTGCTGGGTGAGTTTGACAGACTGGGTTGATGGGAGAGTGACGGTAGTAGACTTGGCTGTTGGGAAAGAGATGGCTGCAATGACAGAGATGGTTGCAAAGAAGGAGTTGAAGACGGTACCCTACTACTGGCAGTAAGCACAGAAGGTCGTGGGTTTCCAGTGACCGTTCCTGGTAACGACGAGTCTGGCGATTGTCGGCTGAAAAAGAACAAACTTCGATGATCTTGATAATGTTGGTGTTGCCGTTGCCGTTGCTGTGAATCATCCTTCAGGCTTGACAAAGAAAACAATGCCACTACTAGTAGGGAAACAACCATCAAGGCAATTGCCAAGGACATTCTGATTGTCACTTGCCATTCACTACCTCTGTTGTCTCCAGTCTTGTGATACCGGTAGAGCTGCTGATGCCGAGAAGGGATCCTCATCTTTCTTTCATGCATGCAATCAACTCTGTCTCTTCTTTTCGTTTTCTTGGAAAGAGGGTGGGATTTTCAGGTAACTATTCTACTGTATTGTTCCTCCTTGTGACAGACAGAAGCATGGACAATGGCACCTCGCGGCTCTGCGATCTAAAGTTGGCTGCAGCGCCGCCTTCCAAGTCCAAGCAAAAAATGTGGCATCTCATTTCTCTCTTACTATAACACGCCTGCAAGACGTTCTACGATTATCAACGAGAGCGTGCCATTCATTCGTGCATTCTAAAGAAGGTTCCGGATCCAAAGAACGTGACTGCTCCCCGGGACTTTCGACGATAGAAACCCCGGTGCCGCGCTCACTACCGATAGAAATGGCTTGCAATGATGGCTCAAGATACAAGGAGAGAGCTGCTGGGATTGTGCCAGCCATGGACCTCGGAGTACAATACCAATATTGATTATTGCATTGTTCCTGGCTAGTTACGCGAGCTGGCTACGTGTTGTTTGTATGGAAGCTGGCAGTGATCCAAGCTTTTAGTTAGTAGAAGAGAAGGCGTGGGAGTGGTTATTATTACGCCCTTTGGCCATGGTGGTGTGGATAAAACTGGAACCGGATATCTTGGCAATTTGCCGAGGACTGAGTCTTACAAGTAGCTACCAGTCAGTCCGCCCAGCAACGAATCTCAAGAATGAAGGTGACTACAGGTCCAGTCTGTCTTACCAGTACTTGGAAGCTGGTGTGGAGGCTCTCAAGGCACACGGCTCTCTGATAGGTGGAAATTCCACTACGGCTTGACTTTGGATGGCTGCATGCCTACTGTATACTTAGCTACTTGGCCGCTGAACTTTTGCAATTTTGTGGGAGAGCAGCACATGGAAGGACGGCGAGCTATGCATGTGAAAGAACGCGCGAAAGCACGGAAAAGTCTCCCCTGGAAGCGATCGTCGCAATTGGCTGGTGCTGACGAGAAGCATCGGATGTCAACATCGCCATGTGCAGCCATGGTTTCGCTTTGCAGTTGACTGCTGCAATCCTTTCTGACTTGGGAAGAGCCACTGCAGAGGGTTGGTAGGTAAGATCCTCCAATGATCGAGCGCTGAAGCTCTGTTTGAGAATCCGTAGCCGAGCATTGGGGACTGGCTCGCTGCCGTGGGAATGGATCTCCAGAGGAACCAACTCCTGAATTCAGACGGCCATTCCAAGTGGGGGGTCAAGCAACATCAACAGTAGCTCCGCGGAAAGACCTCCATCTTGCTTGCGCAGGACAGGAAGATGGGCGAAGTATCTGTACGGCTAGCTACATTCCTTATTCTGGGTGTTACTAGACATAAGTAGCACTTTAGTTTTGATCATTACATGTATGTATTCTCTTCTTGGAATATGCGAAGTAGCAAGCAATGCACGGCTCTCTTCTGCGCATCTGGTACTGCACTAGCTATACGTAGCTAGCTTGTTTCGAGCGTCGGCGGGCAGAAGAGGCTTCCCTGGTATCGTATGAGGCTTCACTCAATTGTTGGTTCTACTGGTTCGGGTGCGAAAGATCCTCTGTCGATTCTTGCGAAGCGTCTCCGCGTTGAGGATGATATTGGAGCGTCGTGGCCCACAACAAGTTATAGTTGTTGCTGTTGTCAAAAAAGTCGTCATTATTAGTAGTGAATCTCAGAGCGTTGTTCACTTCGCGATGGACTTGGTGGGGCGGCCTTGGCACCGCAGCATCTTTGCTTGCGGGCAGCACACCAAAGATAAAAGGTAGCATTTGTGTCAGAGGAATCGGAGGAGGCTGCATCGTCGCCCTCAGGTCTCCATTATGACTGCTGGCCATCACCTTGGTCGTGGGGTATGTCGAGTGGTTTGTCATGGTGCCGTCTTGGAACGCGGACTTGGAATGAATAACTTTGAGCTAGTGTGATGGACGAGGGTGCTTCGTGAAAACAATGATTGTGATAGTAGCAACGTAGCAACTCGCTAGCTAGCTAGCTAGCTAGTAGCAGATGTGTGAGAATCTGTGAGATTTGATATTTTTGGGGAGCAACCAGGAGACTTCACAGGACGGTGGTCGAAGCCGGGACGAGTGAACCGAGGAGGCCTCTTGGAAAGAGTCGAGTCGGGTGGGTGCTCGGTGGCCTGTTCCTCAGTTCCACAGATTCAGAAAAGAGTCGCACTTCAACGATAACTGCTAAATCCCGCTACTCCGGAGTATTAGGCGCTCGGAGTATCAGAGTATACCAGCTAAGCTAGTAGCTATCACATTACTATTATTCTATTATTAGACTAGCCAATACCGGTAGTATCAGGCGCATGTCATTCTTGCGTGACCACACTCAAGTCATTCCATAGCAACATGTACCGCAACGTGCATGGAGCAGAGTCGAGTTTGATAATATTATTAGAAGCTGTCTGAGACTCTTGGTCCAAAGTGCAGGCACTGTTGTGGATGCTTGACATGTGAGATTGTTGCAAAGGCCACACCGAGACTTCACAGGGCGGTCGTCTACAGGCTTTCATCAGGAAGTGCGTGTTCCACGGCCTGTGCGTCGGTTCCACAGTGATGTCAGGAAAAGAGCAAACAAAGACATTCGAGACCTCACAGGACGGTCGTCGACAGAACAGAACTAGGTCTACAGTCATCTCATGCGTCAGACCAGCGTTACAACAATTGATTTTTGAAAAAGAGTGAATTTGATGTTGGGGCGAATGATTGATTGATCGAAGGAACGAGTCTTCAATCATTCTCACGTGTTGGTACCCGCTACAAGTACCGGTACCATCTGCTAGTCTACATAATGCAAATTATTCTACTAGCTAGATGAGTCTAGCTAGGGTATTCTCTGGTTTGACCGAGCAGTTTGGGCAGTAGAAAAGGGAAGCCAAACCTTGCCACTCAGTACTGTAGCTGGCATTCAAGCATGCGAACAGAGCTCAATTTTTGCCTGCCAAAGCAGTTTGGATCTTCTTTGCCTGTCAACAATGCTGCGCTGCAGCTGTCGTGACATCCAATCTACTGGTGTTTCCTGGGGGAAGAGTTGTCAGCAAGCAAACTGCCGGTCTTCAAGAAGTCTTTCCCTTCTCCCGCTCCCTACAACCTGCGAACTGCGATTGTTTGCTGGTGCGGATGGGAGTTGCAGTTGTTGCCATTTGAACAATCACTAGCTAGTCAATACCGGCATGACTTTAGGGCTGCCCCGATATCTCGTCTTACTACGGTATGCCACAGTGCGTGTTAACAAACCGCTGATGGACATCTGAATGATCAATCGAATCGAATCGCCAAGCAGAAATGCACCTAATGAGGCCTTCTTTATATCTTTTCTATTACTCCGAGTGCTTTTTACCCCCTGCGAACGTGGCAAATGAGTACACAACTCTGCCCTTCCATGAATCTGGCTAGCTATTTCAACTCACAGAGAACAATCCTTCAGGAATTGAGTCGGGAGTTCTCTCTTTTTTTAAAGTAGGAAGTTTCGAAGAGCTTCTTGTGTTTTGTCAACTGAAATGTCCCCGAGGCCTTAGTCGCGAGTCTTAACCCCTACACGTGTACCGTACCATGAACTATGAATAGTCCTCAGCGTACTCGGACTACTAGTAGTGCGATACTAGAGTACTATCATAGAGTACTTCGGTGGTGCCGGCAGCAGTGACAGCTTCTTTGTTCTTTTTCTCAAAAGTACCGTTAGGAGAAGCAAACTCGTACTGCCGCCATTGCTGAGTTTGGTCGCTGTAGGCAAGCGGTGCTTCGTGCTTCGTGGAGGCGGGAAGCGAAGGTGGCGCCACGCCACGGGCGCACCCTTTGCTGAAGAATAACCACTGCAACCACGTACCATGTGCCCCAACCAGGTTGTTCCTTGTGCTCTCTATCTGTGCTGTGTAGTGCAAACTGGCCTTTGCCAATGTATCAGTGTTTGGTTTCGACATCCCATCATGCGCATTGACAACAGCAATAGTCTACATTATATACGGTATAACAAACAATGTGGCTAAAGTTTCTCAGCTAAGCTAGGTGGCTTATTAAAAATTATGCAATAGTATTGATACATGACAATGTACTGAATGTGGTCTGTGCTCCTTTGGCTGGCTGGTCTTGTCTTGTCCAGCCATCAGCATGGTTGCTTTTTGCTTTCGTTTCTTTGCTTCTTTGACCCCCTGCCTGACTGAAGAGTCTTTCAATCCGCAGCCACTCCTCAGCGATGCGAGAAGCTGTGAGGAAGAGAGGAGCTAGTATTCTGAACTGCGCTGCCTTGGCCCTCCCAGCACAAGTCGTCGTCGTCGTCCAGCATGGCCATGGCCTCGTTCAAGATGGCATGTATGGAGTCCAATCCTCGGGGCTGATGCACGAATCCTCGTCCATTGTCGACAGCAGCACTGGGTGGTGTCTGACGAGATACGAACGCGAGCTGCAGGGATGTGAGGGGAATGGCAGATGGAATCTCAAAGCGGTCCATGCTTGCTTCGGCAGCACGGCAAGACAAAGCGTTGGTGTTCATAGTGTTGTTATTGGTGCTGTGGGTCATGGTGTTTGCTGAACTGTAGTGTACTGTATGAGAAGGCTGTAAAGATTTAGTTTGGTTGGTAGGTATGTTGTTATGATTGCTTTCTTTGTTTTGTGTTTAGGATTTCTCGATTGTGAAATTGTGGGATGACTTCTTTGATGATGAGACGAAAACTTCAGTTCATGCACGCTGAGCTGCAAGGTATGGGCGGTTGTTTTCTTTGAATTCTGCTCTGGCGATTGAAACGGAGAAAAACTCCGCGCGTGCGCAAAAAGATCTCCTATCCATTCGTGTCCTTGGCTTCCGCATTCACATTATTTCTTTTTAGCGTTCTTTAACGGAAGTCCAAGCCACAACCTTTTTACAAGCAAATTTCGTGTCCGTTTCGACTGGACTCACTGGGCCATTATTGAAGCAAATAATCTGACAAAGACAAAAAAATTTCAAAGTTTTCCGGTACTGGTAGTCTCGTACCGGTAGCCTATTATTATACACCCCCTACCCCCTACATCTTGCCATTCGGCAACCGCACAGCTGCCGTAGAAAGCGCTCTGGCTTCTGGCTGTAGCTAGCTAGCTAGTAGCAAGCATCGGTCATCCAAAGAGTGATCATCCAAAGGTGGCGCTCTCAAGCAGAAGAGAAGAGGACGATAGATCTAAAGATTTATTTCTTCCTGTGCCGTAAGACTGTTTGCTTACCGGTACCGGTACTGATTAACTAAAAGACCCAGAAATTGCCCATACTGTCCATCCAGTTCGACAGAGAAGGCACTGCTTCGTCTTTTGGTCTTGTGCTCTTCGCTGTGCAACTTGCCATCTCGAGCAGCGATTTCACCGCAAGGAAGCCTCCAGATTCCAGATTAGCTCGGATTACACATTGAGCTCACATTTGTCATGCACTACCCCCGTAGTATGGATACAGGGGGGTCTTCGAAGGCTTTTTTTAGTCCCAGTTCAGTGAGCTGTTCATCAGTGTTGCTGAGCCTGCTTCGTGTTCTTTGTCGGGTGGAACCGAAGCCTCGTTTGAGTGACAAACAGTTACTGGTACCGGCTTACTTCGAGTTGTCTATGTGTCTATGTCTATTTTCTCCGGCGATTCAAGAGTGAGTGGAGAGTGGAGAAAGATCTTTAGATCTCCTGCTACGACTGTAGCTTCCTCCTACAGAGCAGCTTCCTACAGTCTCTACTCCTCCCAGCTTCCTCCAACCGTGTGTACATGTCCTTCTGCGTGCAGCTGCTCATCCATTCATCCATCATGGTCAGGCTTCCGTTTCCCGAACAATATTATTTCGTTTTAGCATTCTTTGAATAGGTTTCACTGGCACATTGAAGTATTTTGCCATAAGAAAGAAGAAAGCTTGAAAGATGAATTCAAGGATTCAAGAGGACTTAAAATTAAGGCTTCCCCTTTAACGGTACAGGGTGAGCTTCTTCAACTGCCCCATGTGTCCATGGAGTTCGACAGAGAACGCGCTATATTTCCGCTCTTTGTTCCTCGCGGCTTCGCGGATGCACCTCGTGCCATTCGCAATTCGTCCTCCGACCACCCAACCAAAACCTCCCAAAACCAAAGCAGCACCTCTTTTCTATAGACTAGCTGGAACGTGTATGTATGTGTGCATACCGGTATGCATACGCTACCATGTTGAGGTTGATGAGAAGTGAGAAGGAGCCTCACTAAAAAGGTGTACCGGGTACGTTTAGAAGCCGCAGAAGGAGCCTCCGAAGGCTCTCTCGTACCGTCCGTCCGTGGGGAAGCCTCGTTTGACTGACATCATTAAATTTTCATACGATTTTAGCAAAAAGTGACTGAATTAAGTAGTTTTACTCTTGATCAGCACAAACTGCCGAATCGCCAAATTTTCGTTGCTAGAGCCACCATCCTCCCAAGGTCGCGCCAAACCACACTATCTATCTGTATGCTGTCAGTCGACTCTCTGGCATGACACGGTCATGGAGGTGTCTTGTCGAAAGGCAGCAGAAGGCACCAAGAAGTGTTGGATTGAGCATCTATCTTCTCCAGAAGCGGCACGAATGTCAACATCGTGGCATCTTGACGACGGCCGCGTACTAGTACGTTGCTTGATTGTGAGATGGCAAGCTGTCTGTCTGTCGGCTGTCGGAAAATATGCATTGCCACAGTACGAGAGGCACTCGTCGTGGCTGGCCATACAGTACATGGGCTCCACGAAATTTGCAGCTGCCAACAAAATCATGCAAGAAGAACCAGTCGACCGGCAAGCCATGAATGAATGAATGAATGAATGAATGAATGAATGAACGAGTGAATGATGAATCGAAGCTTGAAGGCTGCCAGCAAGATGTCTGTGATATTAAAAATGATGAGCTACTAGCTAGTAGTGCTTCAAGTTTCCTTGCATACGGCACGGTAGGTCTGATGGTGCTTGCTCTCTCTCTCGGACGATCGAACGATCGAACGGGAGACAATAACAACAGATGTAGCAGGGATATTGACGATGGCAGCACCAATATCCTATGCTATCGGGGTACTAGTAGACAGATTTCTTCACAAACAAAGTGCTAAATGTTGGCGGCTTACTTTATCGTTTTGGTTTGTCTCTCTCTTTGTCTCTCTCTCGAACTCGATTCAAAAGCTCAATGTACGGAGCGCTTCATCAAGGACATCGCTCAAGGGTCGTCTCCTGGTGGCAAGTCTTGGCTGCTGTGGATATCTTCTGGCTCGCATTGCCCCAGGTGCCGTTGTTGGCGCCAGTGGTCTCTGACAGGGCTCCTCCTGGTCCAGCAGAGGACGGTAAGAAAAAGCGGAGGATGCCACTCCCCTCCTGGCTGCGGTGTTTAACAGATCCTTGAGGCTCGGTTCTACCATGGACAACCCATACTGAACCCTTTCATTGTTGCGGGGGAGTTGAGGATGGGCTCTGAGGTTGCTCTCGCTTTCTTGAGGAGGAGCCGAGTGGTTCGGAGCAGCGTTGACGGTGGGGCGGCAGTTCATGGTGAGGAGGGCGTTTTCTTTCTTTGACTTTCTGTAAGTACTGGTAGGCTAGGTAGCTGGCTTTTTGCTTTGTGTGCAATAGGGAATTGTGAGCACTCGTCTAAAGCGTAGATCTGGGCGAGCTGCATCAGCCAAGATCCAAGAGTCTTCCAAGCAAGGAGCTTACTGGAACAAAGCTTGCTGCAACCTGGAGCCTGGAGCGGTGGGTCCGATTGGGCTTGAATCGAATCATTCTCTTTTGTAAATGTTTCATCTTTCAACCATAGATATTTCCAAAGGTGAATAAAGGAGTGGTTGGGACGAGGTGCCTCTGTCCGTATCTCATTTTAGGGTTCCTCTCTTGACGGCTCTTTCCGAAGGGTAGCCAAAACTATCTAAAGTTGCTGAACGTGATAGTCTGCATGGCATTCGTCGCTGTAACAAACACATCGTTCAAGTGTTCAAGTAAGAGTGCTACTGTATGTTTTACCGTTTTACCTAGAGACTGCAGTAAGGTACTATCGATATCTCAGTCTTTCCTTGCATTTTCGGCAAGAAGGTCCTTCTTGATCTACAGTGTAATAATGTTCCATTGAAAAACCAGCCAAGCAGGATATTTATTCAATGATTGAATCTTCAATCAAAGGTTTCATCCAAGTTCCAACCATGGCTACTCCAGTAGCTACTAGCTAGCAGCAGACAGCTGGATATTCTACAACTCTGGGTGCCTGCATTTGGCAGCTATGCATGGTGAAAGGGGTCGCCCTGGACCGTCACTAGCTAGTCTACCAGATACCGGTACCAGGTAGCTAAGCCAGGAAGTAATTAGCGCTAAAAACGTACGCTCTACATCCGCCAAAAGTGAAGTATCGGTAGAGACGCGTGGGCAAAAGGAGCCATAATGTAGCTTCACTGGCTTACCATTTGTGGTTTGAAGACGGCATGCTACCATACCGTGGAAATATGCCGAGGAAAGCGACTCAGAGTGAAGTGGGCTCCAAATTGTAACTATCGCAAATCGAGTTGAGTCCTTGCCGGGAAGAGGGTTGCAAATTCTCGGCAACGTAGTACAGGTACTCTGGAGTAAACATGTTCTTTGGTTGGGATGCTCCGAAAGATGATGATTCAATCATTCAATCTGAGGTAACGCCACCGCAACCTTGGAACATAAGCTTGGTGTCGAGCATGTCTAGCTAGTGCTGCTTGCTTCGTTGCAGCTACTACAACTGTAGACTACTACTACTACGTGGTCTCAGGTCTCAGTATTTCTCTCAGTCCTAGAATAAGGCGAGCCCAAGCGTCACTCGCTTCCTAAATAGTTACCGGTATGCCAAAGAACACACGAAGAATTGCTCGCCGATCGGATGCAAGGCAGAAATCTTGTCTGAAAAGATCGCATGCTGATGAGAACACAACTTTAGAAACAAGCCCAAGCAATCCAATGACGAGACTCTCTGTCCAAGAAACCGACCGAATCCAACCTTGGGAGAGGGTCTCGTTCATTGTCAGTGGGATTCTCTTTCTCTTTATTACCGGCAACGTGAACCTCTTGCTTTGGCAGTCTGGATACGTGTCGTTTCTGTGTCTGTTTCTTTTTGTGGAGTTTCTTATCGGTACAGTTGCTGCCTGTGTGGGAGAGTACCATGGAAAGATCAAGGTAATGACTCGCGGCGGATACTGCACCCAATGTCACACGGAGGGCGTGCTGGAGGAGTATCAAAAGTTTATGGAACGCAAGGAGACTCGGCGAGAACGCAACTGGTTGGGACGGACTCGAAAGATCTACTACGTCGACATCTGGGAGGAGCGAGTGCATTGCCAAGGATGTGGACTTGATTGCAAGGACGAAAAGAAGGCGGGAAGACCACGCCCTCAAAACCAGAAACAAGGCAATCTTTGAGCTACTCAAAAGGGACCAGTTTCAACAAGCCTTCGCTCAACTCCGAGAGTTGCCAAATCCTGTTGAGTCTTTTGGTATGGAACTTATACGTATGAAGTACCTCGATCAGGCCCTGAATGGTCTTGGGAGGCATTCGGAAGCGGATCAGATTGCGGCCAATTTGCGACGATACTGGAAAGCAAATGTCCGCAGTGATTGGATTGCCAAAGGTCGTCCCACGCAGGGGTCAGTCCATTCGCGACTCATTCTCAATCACCACAACGATTATCATGTTCTGGCCAAGCAATGCTACGAGCCAGAGCCTCAAAAAGATGGAGTTAGCAACGCTCATTTCAAAGTTTTGGCCTTCCCAAAAGACGAGATTCTCTTGCCCCACCGACTCTTCAAATTAGAAGAGACTGCAGGGATGTTTGTGCTCAACGAACACGTGAACGAGGAGGGATCAGTAACATCACCAGAAATGGTGGTACGATCGTATGAAGAAACCATGCCCGATATCCGTGTGGTGGCAGGACACGTGGTGGAGTTCTTGGGTGGAGAAGAGGAGAGGAGTAACGGCCTCTTGCACAAAGCAATCCAGTCAGTGGCCAGTCGTCACCTTCCAGTCACCTACACCAAGCTTGACACCACGGACAATAAAGATGCGTCGGTCCCTGTCTGTGACTTGGATGTTGCGGAATCAACCGTGTCATCTTCTACGTCGTTTCACGATATCGTCTGAGCCGAAGCCCTGAAGGTATGTAGGCAGCAACGCAAGCGTTCATGGATGTGTTTAGAAAGCCATACCCATTCTGTATGCCTCAGGAAGAGCGGCATCTTCGAAAACGTACCGTGAGAGTGGTCTAAGATGCCATGCTGAGGCTCTGGCCCGCAGCAGGATCAAAAAGCTGCACATACCAGCGCAAGCCCCTCCCGCCTCCAGCAGTCACTGTTCGTCTCAGAGGTTGAAACGCAAGTTCGTTCGCTGAGAACGTCTATGGTAGTGCTACCGTATGACTGCAATTGCAGTTTTTTTTTAACTAGAAGGTCTGAAATTGCAATATGAACAAAATCTGCTATATTGTATAAAGTATTTGTACGTAATGTAGCATGACTTGTTTGTCGCCAAGTCTCCTTTTGCTTCGTCATGGTCGTCGGTCTTCTTGAACACAACTGAAGCAAGCAAGAAACGCAAAGGTGAGCGCCGTCATGACTCTCGCTCGTGGTTGGTTGGTTGGTTGGTTGGTTGGTGGCCTGAGGAAGGCAGAAGGCGGAGTCACGATAGCCGTCGTGCGTGTTCCGTCGTTTGCCGTTTCCCTGGCTGCTTGCTTCTTAGCGCTGTTCATCGAGCACCTCAAGAGCGTTATCGATAATGTCGACCACAGACCGGGTTTGTCTCTGCTGGTTTGGTCGTAGCTGCAGTCTTTCCATGGACGAACTTGAGCTTGATCGTGCCACCAAGGAGGGACCATGCGGCTGTCTCGTCCTCGAGGATCTCTTCGTGGCAGCCGACCAAAGATCCTTGAGGCTCGGTTCTTCCTTGGAGTGACCATGCGTGGTAGCGCGTTGTGCTGGTGCGCTCTCGCGTTGACGATGATGGGCAAGTCGACAGGAGTTGGAGGACATGGTGAAGTCTGAAGTTTGCAGCGTTCGTTCGAAGCTCTCGAGGCAAGACGAAAAAAGTATCAACGAAGACTGACGGTTTTGTGAGAACAATGTTGTGAGAATAGCTGGCTTTAGCTGCATTCACCTCGAAGGTTGAGCTGGCTCTGGAACTGGTTCGAAACCAAGGAACTCCAAGAAATGTCAAGTCAGCTCCGGACTGTTCCGGTTAACTGGATCCTGAACTCTGAGTACAAATTAATGTATAGTAAATATTGAAGTGCCCACTTTGAGTACAGTACATTTTGACCATCGAAATGACGTCCTTTAATCCATGGTTGGACACCTTTGTGCATGGCGGCATTGTGCTTCGGTGCGAGAAAGCCATGGGGGTTTTGAGATTTAAAAAAGGTCAAACGCCACGGAACCTAAATCAAGACGCTTGGGTCTGTACTCGCGCACACGTCAGAGGAATTTTTGTTTCTGCTGAGTCTCCTTCTAAAGTGGTACGTGGTACCGTATTCTTACTTTACGGGGAACTTGAACGTAGAAATTACCTTTCGTCAGACGGACAGAAGGTGGATTTAATTAGATTTAAAAGTCAAGTACACACGTCAGCTTCAGAGCTCAGAAAACAATTCTAAGGAACTATTTGCAACTATGAACAGTTGTTACAAAGACACAAAGACTATATGATTACATGTACCTATGTACCTTTTACTTATTCAGTACTCCGAGTACATAATGTACCCTATGTACTTAGAACAGCTGAAGAACTTTTCTTTCGGATGGGCAGAATGCGGATATTTTTCATTAGGAGCGAAGGAAACACGTCAGCTTGCAGCGTTCTAGAGTTTGATGTTTTATTTAGAAGCCAAGGAAATACGTGAGTATTCACCCTTCTCAATTTGAGGAGGAAGGAATGAGGTGATGAGGTGGTTTGCTGGTGGTTCCAAAATTCCAAGTCTGCGTGTACCAAACTACATGTATGTACAATAGTAATTGTTTACGTAGCTGGTATGGCATAGCATAGTGCACATGAACGGACCTCAGCTTGTGCCTTGTAAGCTGCCTTGTACCGGACTGCTACATGTAGCTAATATCAATTTTTTAAAATAGATAGAGGTGAAATGCACTATAAGACCCGCTGCTATTTTTATTAAAAGACTATCGAAATTAATAGAGGTTCGTACGTAGGTTCCTACGTAGCTTCAGTACCAGAGTCTTAGAGTTGCTTCTTAAGGTACAACGTAGGATCTTACAGGACTCTCCAAGTAGGATTCAATCTGCAGGTCAAAAGAATTACTTGTCAAAAGGTGGAAATCTAAAAATGCCCATAACTCCTTCAATATGTGTCACATTGAGTTGAGAATTTTGTGGCTTACTCAGTTAAGTGTGCTCGATCGATTCCACCCCTCTTAATTAAAATAGTATGTCATACTAAGTTCGATATCCAGCTCTTAAGAGAATATTCAGGCGAATGGTCGGTCTTAAAGTGCATTTCACGTCTAGTAGAGTCTAGAGTCTAGAGTACTCCGTTTTTTAGTTTTTTTTTAAAGCTTTTTGCCAGGGAGCTTACAAATATTTCATCATACAGTACTACCATTACGTACCCCGGCTCGAGCCATCGTCAGCCTTTGAGCCTTGAGCTTATTATGGATACTCGGAGCAGTCTCGGAGCTCGGAGTGCTCTATTAATAGTAGCTTGTAATCAGTACTCTGGAGTAGCTTGTTACTGGTATAAACGAAAAACTTCTAGTACCTGTATGGCTTCACTACGTACTTGTGCCTTTTTACACAGTCAACACTCTACTGTAACGCTCTACACTATTAATAGCACCTGCTCCAGGCACAGTGTGAATGTGTGAATCAATGGTGTTTACCGGTATTCCGTAAATCAAACGAATACAAGTCCGTAGTACTCGGAGTCAGTCCTAGGAATTTCTGTTGCCTTCGCAGTTCGCATCATCAATAGCCCCATAATTATTCGAAAGCCCCATTCGGCTCAAAAGCGTTAAAAAACGTCACCCTACTAGTATCTTTATTTCATGCGTCGTCGTTCCATTCCAATTATTCACTCATAATGAGTCGAGTCCAGCGGTACTGTCTCCGAAAAAGTACGTTTTGGTCTGCTGTTTCGCAGTATTACAAGTACGCATACGTAGTGGTGGACGTGGCGGCCACAAAAATTACGAGTAATTGGCAACTGCCAGTTCGCTGCTACTAGTACCGTACCTAGTAGCTAGATATTCGTAGATGGCTACATGCAGGACTGGCTGGGGCTTATTAGTAGTGTTTTTCCTGGAATCGAATCTGCTCCCGTCTTCGTTCTCTCGCTCACAATTCCTTACGAGAAACTAGATTTCCTCGCCTCTGCCTCTCTGCCTTGCTTAGTTCTCCACTAAGATAACCCATTCGTAGGCTCCTCTGGTCCTCTCATCTTCTACATCCTTCCTAATAGCAATCATGAACACATCTAGTACCACCACCAATACCTGCAGCAGCGTCTTTCCGCCTCCTAGTGCTCCAGCGCGTCTTCGGCCAGGTTCGGGCAATAGCCAAGATGACCTCCCTCCTCAGCTGATCACAGCAAATGCACCCTTGAAGCCAATGATATCCTCCCTCTCCTTTGAACCTGATGCAGTGGAAAGCACTGCGGAACTTATCAACTTGTACTGTCAAGTGTTGCAAGAGCATCTTTCGTCACAAGAACTCTGTCATCGTTGCGCACCGATTTCCCAGCTGCAACTGAATGACTACTCTTGGGATCATGACGACTTCTCGGAAGACGATGACGGCTTTGAAGACAATGAAGACAATGATGATGATGATGATGATGACATGAGTGTCTTTTCCATGTCATCATCGTGCTCTATGGATCATCTCTTTTCGGATGTTGATTCCATCCAGTGTCGTCTTCAAAGTCAAGAACAACGACGAGTTGGCACCCCTGAACATGGATGCAGCACTGCAATGGAAAGCAGCCCAATCAGGATTGTCGAATCTGATGCAGACTCTCTTGCATCGTCCTTTTCAGCGTGCAACCTGTCACTTCCCTATAATAATAATGAATGAGCCACATTCAACATCATGTGACATCCAGGCCAGAACGTTTTTGGTCATTCCTGCTTCCATGCACCCAGCCATGTTTCATTTTTATAATAGTGGGGGTATCCAATGGGGGCCTCGCTCCGGGCGGCTGATACGACGGTATTGGTTGGCACACGGCTACATGATAAATTCTTTGCAGTACGTACTAGCTAGCTAAATGTGATATCAATAGAGATTTGTACTTTCTTGAACATGTCGTCCTCTCTTCGTTAGGCTTCATTCAGGTGTGGAAGAAACAGAACAAAAGCCAGGTGGATTTTGCTTGGAGCACCTAGCTAGCCCCAGGTCTGTCTGTCTAGGCGACACGTCCATGGAGTGCAGTCTGCTTGTATGTACCGTATGCAAAAGCAAAGTAGACCGGAAAGGAAGGGCCCGAAATCACATAATTAGTTTGCTTTCATTTCTGGGTTTCGGCTCTACAGTACTAGTATAATATTTGCATGGATGTTCGCCTGTTTACCGGTGGTGCGCTGACCGAAAGGGGTGTGGTTCTCATTGTATGTTTGGGTTTCGGAGATGCTTGGGACATGCTTGCTCGTGGGACATGTTTCTGGTGGATATAAAGGCTAATGACCCAGCGATACTGGGACTTAATCACAAATGTGACTTAGTTTTACGACACTACCAGAAGAGTATTCAAAGCTGGCACCAGTAGCCTTCTGAACCATCAAGAACGGCCAAACAGCATCCTTATTGATTCTTGAGGCAACGAGCTGGTTGGATGAGCTTTGGATGTCGGCGGTGCTGAGAACTCTGAGAACACAGACGGTGGTACATGCTCAATCGTACATGTGTGGCTTGCTTGCAATCTCCCTTGGATATTTCGTTTTGACACGTCATGTACCGTAGCAGAAGAAGAGAAGCGGGGCCACAGGTAGACTGCATACTACAGTATTACACCTACAGATGCATGGGGCAATCTCCGGACTCCATGCCGATGTGTTTCCGTCTGTTTCCATCCCTTCCGGTCAGTTTAGACTTTGCTTTGTTCGTGCTAACTAGACTAGACAAGCAACATCCAACAAGTGCTACTTTTATCACAGACGATCTATACCAAATTTGGAAGGTCTGTTGTGTTGACTGTAAGGTCGGATAGTAGGATTCTATCCAAGATCCCAATACCAGTCCCAGAAACAGCATTGGTACATGGTCAGTATACCTCACATTTCCTTGTCGCAGTGCTGCTGGTACTTTCACCAGCCTTTTTGAGCCAACTTTTTGAGCCAACTACAAAGTCCGCAAATGCCATTTTATGGTTTCATATTGTGCAATTTGTGTTTCACAGTAATGAAACTGTACGTTTTCATGGTAAAGTCTCACAAATTGGTGAAACTAGTTTCACTGCTAGCGGGGTGTCCGGACGTCTCAGGTTGGTTGATCGATGAGTACCAGGAAGGCCCCGTCATGCGACTGCTAGGAGCCAAAAGTCGCACCGTAGCTCCAAAAACGCATCAAAAGTCGTACAGAAAGTCGCGTGCGATTCGCATGAAAGTCGCATGCGACTTTCTCGCACGACTTTGAAAGTCGCGCAAGTTTACTATGAACAAGGTGACAAAGTCGCGTCGGATCGCTGAAAGTCGTTTGAAAAGTCGTATTAAAGTCGCGTGCGACTCGCACGCGACTTTGTGAACGACTTTCAGCGATCCGACGCGACTTTAACCTTAGTCGGGATATCAGTCGTATGACGGGGCCTTCCAGTACGCTGTACATGTTGGACGAACGGGTACATGTACCAGGTACGACTTCCCTGGTACGCTGTACCTGGTACATCGTACATCGTCAATCTTCTTTTTTTTATAAATCACATCCTGGATCAAAATTGTCAGTCCCGCCGCGCACTAATAGTGCGCGCCGCGGCGGGACTGAGAAATCAGTCCCGGAAATAAATTTGAATATTTTAAAATGTTAAAATACTATCCCGAAACTAGCTTCGAAAGAAGGAAATATTCGCACAAGCACACCTCCGTCTCTTCAGAAAAAGTTTGCGCCATTTTCCAACCCAAGCACCAGTAAACGGTCCCTAGCCCTGCAGGTGGGAAAACCTTTAAATAATATAAACCCACCCCTCCTCCGGCAGTTTTCCAGCAGTTTAGAAATTCTGATTCCACTTCCCAGCATTCCGTGAACTTGACACCACCAAATTCGTTCCGGGAACATCCAAAAATCCAGATCTTTGCCGCCCGCATAGCCTACCACCTCTGTGTGCCATGCATGCTTCGCACCAATCCTGAAGTCAAACCTCCACTCAAAAGCTCATTATTTCCAAGCTCGAGACCACCGAATGACCACAACCGCCCACACTCAACACCATGTCGCCTAATAGGCTACTAGCATTAACCAATGTCGACTACTACAGTTCGTCTTCCAAATCTAACCAAGCGAAACACAATAGTACCGCCACCTTAATCCAACCATACCTTGACTCCCTCCAGGACAAGCTAGAGCTACCTCGAATCCAATACACCAACCTAGAAGAAACCGGAGGCTCCTTTTCTACCGACGACGATCTCGTAACCAAGTGGTGGTTCGCCTTCTGGAACAGTCAACCAACTTTCTGGTTCAGTCTCAAGAAAACCACAGGAGAAGACTACGCACTGGGAACGCTGGAACGTTACATGCCCGCAATCAAGAACCAGCTGGCGAAGAAACTCATCCTGTCCCGATATAATAAAGTCATCGAAGAAACTTACACATCGGCCTTTAACGAAATGAAAACGATGATCAAAGACCACAAGAAAGCATCTCCCATTTCCCCGAAGAACAAAGTCTACACCACCGCCGACATCACCTTCATCCTCCAACGCTGTTTGTGGTTCAACCTAGAAAAATACATCGACTTCTATGTTTTCCAGACAGCAACCCTCAGGCTTTGCAGTAGAGCAACCGAAACATCCCGCATCACCGTACAAAGCCTCTCAACCAGAGAGCTCTGTGAAGGATCCACCAACAACATTCTCCAATGCTACCTCGTTCGAGACAAGATGGGAGTTGACAACAACCACCCCTTGATTCCAAACAAACACGAAGTCTTTGGTGATCTTGTTGTCGCCATTGGCCTATCCCTGTTCATCCGTGGAGACAATGTCCTCATGCCATCCATCGCCACCCTATCCGGAGAGTCTGTTGTCTCAGCCCACTACAAGACAATGCTCAACACCCTCTGGAAGAGATACCCTCCTGCAGAGAAGAACTTTGTCAGAAAAGGCACATCTCACTTCGGCAAGCATACAGCCCAGTTCCTCCTTGACGGAAACAAACTCCACATTGCAGCTCAACTGTTCGGCGGATGGAACATCGGAAAAGGAACCGCCCGCGCCTCGTACTTCTCGAACCCCTTTCCCTACCTTCTCGATGGAGCGAAAAGCCTAGCAGGCTGGTCGAAGACCGGAGGCGATGACTACCAACGCGTCACCATTCCATCCTACGACACCATCTCAAAAGACCTTGGTGATAAGATCTGTTCAGTCTTCTTTGGGCACATCTCCGAAGACTTGCTCAACATCCAAATGAAGCAGATGATTCTCGTATGTCTCCTATCCAAACAATGGGATCAACTCCTAGATCAGATCCGCGCAGAACCCAATGGAATATTTGAAGACCCCAGCAATCACATTCTCATCACAACCCTCACGCTTCGACTTAAACGAGACGGCATTGAACTATCCCAATTCAACAATTTCAAGTCAACTTGCCAAGAATTATTCGACAAAACCAACAACAATCCCACGGTTCCAGTCCCAATCACACCACAACCCCTTACAACTCCCACGACAATCGCAACTCCAACCGTGACTTCCAAACCAACCACAGAGTACTCCCAGTCCCTGTTCCAGTCCCAGATGAACATTCGGCCACTCAAATCACTCCTCGACCTGGTCACAAGAAACACCGACCCCACCATCATCTTCATCAATTTTTTCGCTTGCAACTTCATAGAATCTTACAAGAGCACACCCAGGGTTGACAACAAATGCCGCTGCAAGTACCGGAAGATCAAAGCCGCCATCAGGGTCATGGTCCGATTCTCTGACAGTTACCCTGGTACGAAGACCCCCACATTGGCAGATGCCGAAGCTGTAATACACCGCATCAAAAGCGCGCTATTAACCCAGACAAACGTCAAAACTCAAAGCAAACAACCATTCAATGTTACAACACCGGTTCACCTCACCACCATCCGCAACAATGAAAAGCTCCTCACCGATAAGACAAAACCCTGGTACCGTCCCCTACCAAGTGACACACCCCACTCCTTCATCGCCCATGTCTACCCACCAACACCCAACAAAAAAAATAATTATTAGCCACAAACCCAATTTAATTTTTTTATTTAATTTTTTTTACCGAATAAAACTTAAACTACGCATCATCCAAATCGATCGAACTATCGGCATCGGAAGGGAAATCGATCGTATCATCGATCGTATCATCATCGGCACCGGCACCATCGGTACCATCGGCACCGGCACCGGCGTCATCGACATCGGCGTCATCGGCAACATCATCCATGTCGTGGTTAATAACCTTGAAAGGAAGCCCAGACAAAGCCGTCAAAGCCGTCATGAATTGCCCGCGTAGCAAGTGGTGGTCAAATTCGTTGACGTACTCTTCACAGACCTCATCATCTCCTGCAAACCACGTCACATACAAGAGATCATCGCCAGTGAGATGGAACTCAATCTTCACCGCGGTGCTAAGATCCTTAGACATCACAGCGTTCAAAGGACGCTCAATGTCTTCATGAATGCTGATTCCGCGGTAGTTAATACTAGCCATAGTTGATATTGAAATCTCTGTTTGCTGTTTGTTCTAGTTGTTGTCGACCTTTTCGAGTTGTGTCAGTTCGTCTAGTCAAAAACCGGAGTACATCCCATCCCACGCCGTTTCAGTGTGGTTTCTATTCCAATCACGCAAGCGTGCGTGCCCACTCCACGTTAGAAAGTTTCGAGTTACCACGCTCAGTCCCAAGCCGTTACAATCCATCACGCTTTGCGCCACATGAGCAACAACCTCACTTTCAGTTTCAGTCCTCCCTACGACAGAAGCAAGCTCCTTTTTCCAACATGTCTAACCATGAACAGACACTACAGTGGATATCCGCCATGGATAAAATCCGCAAAAGTTCGTTCAACCTCGGCCCCGACGGCGTCGAATCCTGGCTCGAAGACGTCAAACGCGCCGCAGACCAGCACCTTTCACCACTCGTACAAAGCCAAGAACGGAGACCTCCAATCTGGTGAAGGCGTCCCACGCAACCGCATGACCGCACACAAACGCAACAAACTCGAATTCGTGGAAATCACTTATTTTCAGCTCGACGGCCCTCCCTTCACCATTCGCACCACCACCATGCAGAGCGGTTATTATTGGCATATGTGGATCAGAAGCTTTTGGGAAAGGCTCTCCGAAATCCTCGATGCACCCTACGATGAGAAGAACAACCACTACCGTCGCCATCTAGTCGCCCTAAATGAAGAAGTGCAAGAGCGTGGCCACGGATTCTTCCCTGAGAGCGTCCGCGCCGTCATTCATGAACTCCAGGACCGCTTCGACCAACCCCGCACTCATTTTGACCCTGTTGTAAATGCAACACCTTAATCTAATTTCCAAGGGTTCTGAAGCAAACCCCATCCCTTAAATAAAACCCACCAACTAATTTTTTTATCCCACACCCGGCCCGTGCACCCGGCTTACGTGCTCTCGCCTGCTCCACCCCGTTCTGTCCCAATCTCCGCCATTGCAACAAACCATAAGAACTTACAACATGCCACCAACCTATAACCCCTCCGGTCGCAAATTCGTATTCACCCTCCACAACTGGACTAACACCGATTGGAGTTATCTAAAAAACCTCTGCGAGACCCGCGATGACCTCACCTTTATGAAGGTCGCACAAGAGAACGGAAAAGAAGAATCCCCACACCTCCAAGGGTGCGTCGTCTTCGACCGCAACTTCAAACAGAGAGAGTCAAAAGTATCTAAAATTCTAATGGGTCCGAATAAGGACACAGCCCTTCCAGACCCTAACAAACCCGGCCAACCCCTAGGCCACCACTACCACGTAAAAGTAATGCAAGGCACCTTCAAACAGGCAGCTGACTATTGCGGCAACCTAGATAAGGAAGGTGAATGCCCCATATATGTCTATGGTACACTACCTGACTCCGTCCAAGGTGAACGCACAGACTTCAAGGCAGCTCAAACAATCATAAAGGAGAAGGCAAAGGCAGGCTGTAAGCTTGTTGGTCCGGATGGCATATCAGAGCTCCTTCCCCGTTTCTGGGCACAGCACGAACAGTGGGTGCGCAGTCTTTACACCCGTTACTTGGAATCCGGAACTAATTTCTTTGAAAACAACACCCTGTTCAAATGGCAACAAGACCTAGTATCCTACCTCAATGACCACGATCCCGATCCCCGTAAGATTCTGTTCATCGTCGATGAAAAAGGCAACGGAGGCAAATCTGAATTAGTTAGAAACAAGAAGTGGCTGTTTCCCGGCAAAGATGTATTCACCATCCCCCCAAAAGACACAGTGTCAATGGCCTCACTATTCCCTGATAACGGAACGGATATCGTCCTCTTTGATTGCCCCCGCAAGAAGCAACACGATCTTGCTTATGATTTCCTAGAAAACCTCAAAGACGGCAGAATCGTCCAAACCAAATACCAACCAATCACCAAAACCTTCCCTATTCCCCACGTTGTCATCCTCATGAATCGTATACCAAGACTAGGTAAATCATACCTGTCTGCGGACCGCTACATCATCAAAGAAATTGAATTAGAACCCGAAGAAAGTGCCAAACTTGAAGCACAACAAGCAGATACCCTCCAGACTATCTGAGCGAATCTGTTTCCCGTACTCGTGAACTCCTTGTAGCCGGTGAAGAAGCAACTAAACTCAGACGTGACGAAGATGAAGAAGCACGAAAACGCACTCGTTACAACAACAACTATAACTATGATACACAATAGGTTTAGTCTGTTCCCAAGATTTGTCCCCAACCCTATACAGCCCTTCAACTTCGGGGACAAGAACAAAAAAACTATGCATTTGATAGCACACTTGTCCGTTGATTTTGTATCGTTTCCCTGTCCTTTCACTTGGACAGATAAAAACTGTCCCCAAAATTTGTCCCCACCACTAAACCCCTATATTATCCCTCAACTTCGGGGACAAGAACAAAAAAGTATATGGGTATGCCGAACGAAGTTGAAATAGTGTAACGGATAATTTCCCGACTTAGGAGGCATACCCATATACGCCTCTCGCCTTACAACCTCCTCCCCGTTGCCAGGAGAGGGAATGAAGCGTCACCCCACCGGATGGCGAGTGATAAGGGTACCTACGTTGGCCTTACCACTCGTTAGCGCAATGAACCTTGTATGGCAATCCCAACCTGGCATTAGCCCCTTTTTTCTGCGAGAGGCGCCATTTTACAACCTCTCCCCAGCCCAGCGGCGATTGAGCTCCTCCAACCTGGCATTAGCCCACCCCGTCATTAGCCCAACCCGGCATTAGCCCAACCTGGCATTAGCCCACCCCGGCATTAGCTCCTCCAACCTGGCATTAGCCCACCAACCCGGCATTAGCCCAACCTGGCATTAGCCCACCAACCCGGCATTAGCCCAACCCGGCATTAGCCCAGCCTTACCAACACGGCATTAGCCCTAGCCTTACCAACACGGCATTAGCCTAGCCTACCAGACACTGGCATTAGCCCTAGCCTTTACCAGACACGGCATTAGCCCTAGCCTTTACCATACACGGCATTAGCCCTAGCCTTAGCCGTAGTAGCATAACCCCCCTTGTAGCGTAGCCCTAGCCTTAGCCATAACCCCCATTGTAGCGTAGCCCTAGCCTTAGCCATAGATTGTAGCGTAGCCCTAGCCTTAGCCATAGATTGTAGCGTAGCCCTAGCCTTAGCCATAGTAGCTATTGTAGCGTAGCCCTAGCCTTAGCCGTAGCATACCCTATTGTAGCGTAGTCCTAGCCTTATCCGTAGTAGCATTACCAATTAATTTCCGAAAACCTAGAGACCTTCAAAGGACGCTCCTCATAAAAAAACTAACCCAACTTGGAAACATCCCTCAAGAATAAACTGAAGATCCGACCATGGCCAACACCCCCCTTGACCTCATCAACACCACCGGCGAAGCCTGCATCATTTGCGCAACAAAGTTCCGCAATGGCGACAAGGTCGTCCTCTTTGACTGTGGCCACTTCACATGCAACGATTGCCATGAAAACCTCATTGCTGTACGCGCCACCTACGAAGACGACTACCTAGGAGAAGAAGACGACGACGGCCGCATCGGAAACGGGTGCCCCGTCTGTCGCTCGGATGATGAAGTAGCTCAAATCTATCAAGCCGTGGTGTACCACCGTGGAACCCAGGACGACCCCGTGGTCATCGACGAGGATTAAAAACAACAACCCCTAAACCTAATGACAAATTAAATCCTGACTTACGCACCTCTATTGCGAGCAAGCCCACCGCCGATCTGGCAGCAGGCCCGCGCGTGACCAACAACACCAGTTACCAGTTACTAGATTCCGCCGAACACCGACCACCCCACCAATCCCATTATTCTGAGCCCAAGACCACTGAAGGATCCAACCACCTCCGGCAACATGGAAGTACCCCCATTCGACCCCATCCAATGGCAACTAGCCCACCCCCGGCCGCAACCACCGCACTCCGCCCATTGGAAACTCCTCATCAACAACCGCGACCAAGACCCTGCGACGATACCGAATTGGTTATCAAACCTGAGTGACGAAACCTTAGTAGACTGGAGCGTATCCCCTTCCGAAACGACGTCGAATCTGTTAGTTGTGCAAGCCGTCTATGCCACCAACATCGCGATGCCTGAAGACGCCATTGTGAAGCAACACGGACTTGACAGCGGCGCCATGGCAACCCAGCTGCTGCATCTGTTTCCCGGTCTACCCCTAGTCGAGTAAAAACCGATTAAAAATCCATTTATTTTCTTTCATTTTTTAACCCTAACCCCAGTCACCTCGTCACTCCCATTCCCATCGTCATTCCCACCCCCGTCGTCACCGCGCTCACCCTTAGCCTTAACCCTAGTCACACCAACCTCGTCACTCCCACTGCCATCTCCAGTGCTCTGTCTGACACCACGCCAGTCACCACGAACCATCCTCATAACCCACCTGGCATCAGAAACCCTCCTACAATCACCCTGTGTAGGCAGTCTACCGGTCACCACCACGTTTTTATCCAAATTAAAAAACCTTAACAAGTTGACCACGCATCCATAAGCAGTCGGAGTACAGTAACTCCGACGCCCCAAAATCCTGTCAATATAATCCTTACCACAGGGATTATTCATATTCATAAAACCCATAAGAATCAGACACTGGTTCTTCTTGTTTTCATCCCTCGCTATAACAGAGAAACGCGCCACCCTATCCATAGTATGCGTCATGTAAATAAGAGCCTCGCTTCTCCTGGTTTCAGCCAGTTCCCTACTTTCCGCGTCCTTATAGTTGAAGAACAAGCTAAAAACCCATCCCTTAGCAACAGTCATGATTTTACCTCCTACTTATTATGAGACCCCATTAATTAACGCAGTACTCCCCGTCCAAGACAACATTAACTCCGTCCCGTTCCACGTATTCGATGACAGTATATCCATAATTAGGGTTGAAAGACCGACCACTGATAAGAAGTTCCACGTTTAATCGCACACGCTCGTCGCATTCAGCAACATGATGACCAGGATCAACATGTTCATGTTTCTCATTGCAGTAAGGACATATCACATCGGTAGAACCCTTAAGTCTTAAAGCAACAGGAATCCCATAGTAGTTCTGCATGTACGTCTCCATCTCCCCCACTTTCATAGGAACGCTAGCAGTACCCGGTGTCTTCGCAGGAACGCCAACAGCAGCCTCCGCGGCACCGCCATCGTCGCCTCCCTCAATTTCAGAATCAGAAGCAGAATCTTCAACCTTCATAACAACACTCATCGTAGAAAAAAAATGTGGATAGTCACCTCCAACATCATCAGCCTACCAGATTACATCACCATGATGGAGTTCATGAAACGGAAGTTTGTAACGGAAGGATTTATCAGTTACCACCATGCACACGGTTCCCTAATCCTTTGTTGCCTAATCCACGAAGATGAAGAAGTCAACGTACCCACTTGGTTCCCATCGTACACCGTCCAATATCAAGATGACAACAACATGGATCTAGACCAACCCATATCCATAGCCGGCAACATGTTAATAGCCATGACAAACTGTGATTTACTCCACACCAAGAACCTAAGGAACACAAGATCCCGCCTAGCCGACCGTCTAGGGATAACCCTACCCAGTTCCACCACGATCGTAGGTCCCTAACCACAACCCTACCAAGCCCCCAGGTGGGCCGAGGTGACAAATTTCATTATTACGTCACCTCGGACCCATGGCCCCCTACTCTTTCAGTATAGTAACAGCTACATGGGCCAAACTTTAATTAAAGATTCCCCTTTTATCTCTTTCTAGTCCCGGTGTACTCGCTCACCGCAACCCAGCAAGTAAGTGGTAACAGGTAACAAATTCACTGATAGAACCACCACCCTCCGCCATAACCCTCATTATTTCCAACCCCGAGACCACCGAAGGACTCCCAACCCCAACAACCACCGCCGACCATGGCCCTCGAAGTACCCCTCGACACCAACCTAGGCCACGGATTGTTCATCCTTCACAACCCTGAAGCCGATGACATCAAGACAATGAGATCCATCCTGATGAAACCCGCCGTCTTCGGAGCAGTCTATGTAAGTGAACCAAAGAAAATCAAAGGTTACTTCTTACTCGCCGTCGACCCCAATAGCGACGAAGCCATTGAGCACTACAACGACCTAGCAGAGCATTGCGACGTCGAAACCCTAACAGTAGGAACAGCCCTTGACATCCTCTACAGCAAAAGACGCAAACTACTCAAGAACAGCACCAAAACGATGTACCGCGAATTACGAGCCCTGGCCATCAAGACATTAGACTGGCAGCTATAACCATCTTAGCCCTTTACCCTTGCCCTTTAGCCCTGTAGCATAGCCTTAGCCGTAGTAGCATAACCCTCCCATGTATCCTTTCGTGTCACGACTAATCGTCACCGGTAAGCACTTCTGGTCTTGGCGTCGCAAAGTAGTCTTACCAGGTAGCGTCACCGGTAAGCACATATCCAACCAATCAGAAACCACACCGCTAGAGAGTTGTGCAATTTCACACGGAACACCAGAGACCAAACCCGCCAGCTAATTTAATCCATGAAAAGTCGACCCAACTCTCCAAACCCGTTAATTAGGTTAACCCCAACCCCAACCCGCCGTAATCTAACCGCGCGCAACCTCAGTCGTCCTGTACACCCGTAAACAAAAGGAAATAGGAAATAGGAAATAGCATTAAAGGGGTTGAGAACTCAGGCAGTTTACCTGCCGAGGTAATACCAAAAAAGGGGGTGAGGGCTCAGGCAGATAGACTGCCGAGGTAAATACAGTAGAAGAACAATGTTGAGGAAGATGCCGTTGTAGTGACGGGGGTCTAGTAGCTATTGCTAGCTACCGGTGGACGGTCTAGCTAGAGAAGGTGGATTTCTCTACGGCAGTCGTGGAAGATATCGCATTCAGACCCGTGAGGTAATCAAGGGGGCATGCTGCTCGTCAAAAGGAGGCTTCGTATCCACTACTGCAGCTAGCTAAGCACTGGTAGAGGGCTTTGTACGATAAGGAACGGCGCAAGGAAGCTTCGTGTGAGAAACATAGAACCGACAGTCCAGACCCAACATGGCCTCAAACTCTAAGGAAGGCAAGGGTTTGGATCCCCCGCGTGTTGTCTTTCCCGCGTCTCGAGCAAAATACACGAAAAAGGCAGACAGGGGACGTAAACCGGCGGAAGGAGAGCGGCCGTCGACACCTGTCATCCCCGCATCTCGGCAAGCTTACGCAGAGGCGAAGAAAGTTGAAAAAAGCAGTGCCCTTTCACCCATTGAGAGGAGCCGGCAGCGCAGTGCCAGGAAGAAAGAGCGGCTGCATACGGTAGGCGCTGTTAGCGGCGATGCTGCTGTATCTGAACCTACTGCAGCTGTCGCCGAAGACCATCCTTCAGCAACACAGCAGACTAGAGGAGAAGCTACCGGTGGTGATCCATATTCTGTTCCATTGGAAGATCTAGAATCAGCAACAGCATCCGCTGCGAATGATGTCTCACTTGTTCCCGAACCTCCCCTCTTGGAAGCCAGGATAGTATCCGAGAGAGAAATTGTGCAGGCCGTGCCTGCTCCGGATTTGGATGCAAACAACCAAGAAACAGAAGATAGGAAGGGGAAAATTCTGATCAGTCGTCGCTGGCTTTATATACTCGGCTTTATCTTGTTGGTTGGTGCCACTATGGCTATCCTCTTCATCGCGGGGGCACTCCCAAGTGGCCAATCCAATGATGACAGTGGCACCCCAGCACCTGCAGCAGCGTCCTCGGGGGAAAGCACCGATAATAATGCTTTATCTACAGCCGTGGACCCCACGGAAGTCCTCACTACTGTCCCTCCAAAGGAGCCAACCGAAGGTCCTGCAAGAGCCTCATCTCGTGAACCCACCAACATTCCCACAGAAGCGCCACTCGAGAATTCGGTCACGGAGCTTCCTACATTGGAATTTCTTCCAGACCCTCAAATTGGAAGCAGCGCCACCATGTATGATGTTCGGTATGCTGGACGATTTCAAATGGTGCAAGAACCAGGATGTAAGTTTCCATCCCCCAAAATCATCGTGGGCTGTGCTGGCTCTGTTACTGTGGTTAGTACATCAGATCCTTCCATTGTTTGCGACGAACCCTTAGTTGCTGCCGATGGTTCATCTCAAGTGGTCTGTAACAATACATGCGCCGGAGATGCCTGCGAAAAACTCTTCATCGGAAATGCTGTCGAGGGCGACTTTGGGTAAGATGAATACATGTATCATGAAATGTTGGGCGCGGAAGTCTTGGTGAGTTTGCTCACTTTGCTTTTCACGGACAAAAACAGTGACTTAGCCTTGTTTGGAGAGATCTACTTCCTATGCACAGGACCTAGGGTTGTGGATGCCACTGGTTGGATGAGCATGAAGCCCACTGGTCAGGGATCTTGCAATACCAGTGCCACCAATGACAGCATTGGAGCTGCATTTGTCACTACTCAACTTGGAGCTTATGGAGTAGTGGTAGACAATTATGTCTTTGACGATCTCTACTTCGAATGTAACACTGACAGCATTTCTGTGAGCATTGGTGGTGTGTACTCATGTACTGTTGGAATCACATGTATTGACGATGCATGCTCATTCACCATCAAGCCACTAAACATCAGTGCCGACATTCACCACTTTGCAAGCCAACTCATTCACTCAAATGATGGGAGCCGCATTCCCAGTGTCCCCAACCCCATCAATGGTGTTTCTGTTCTCGGATCGAGGACTGCATTGTTCCAAGTCAGTTCGGGATTCTACTACAATGAAACTGCCTGCTCTGGAAGAGTTACCGGTCTTCAAATGACATGCCTGAATGGTACCATATCTCTCGTGCAGAACCAGAGCACCATGGTCTGTTCTGTTCAACGCAACAACATGATACAGTGTAATGAAACCAGGACAGCAATCAACCCAAGAAATGAATACTTCCCTATTCTTCGCTATGTAAGTAGGCCAGGCTATCAGCCACTAGAAGAACCTACAAACAGCTGTCTCACAATGCTCACTGCGGCCTTCCTGACAGGAATGCACCGCCATTGATCAAGTGCCCCAGACAACTGTGGAGAACACAGATTCAAGCGTTGAATGTAGTTTTTCTGAGGAGCAAGAAGTGTCCTTGGAGTTGCAATTGGGGATCATTTGCAGTGATGGGAGCATTATGTATGATGACTACTTCTACGAGTGTGCTGGCGAACAGAGTACCTTAGTCAGTCGTGAAGGAAATTTCACGTGTGGCATTGTTGGTGTTGTCCCTGTGGCTGCTGGGCAGGTTGGGTTTGCAGTGGCTAGTATTGAGACTGACTTCCGCTGGGGAAACATGGCTGGAGTCAGAAATGTGTTTGAGCCGTCAATGTAACTTGAATCGGATGGATGACTGGTGCCGAGAATTCTCAAGGTATAGAAAGATAAGATGGAAGTCTTGTCGTGCGTTTCCTCTTCGTTTCTTCTCATGGATCACTTCCTTGTTCTATTCATCTCTAGTGTTGCTCGAGCTTACAGACTACGCGATTGTTATGATGTCTTTGACCGTGATTGCTACTGTCCTTCTTCCTATCTTCAAACCAGTGGTGATTGCGAACAGTGCAATCGGGAGAACTCCACTGAGTGGTGCCGTCGATTCGATCCTACTGCCACAGCAATTCCAGGTCGGAGCTGCTACAATGCTTTTGAAGACGACTGCCAATGCCCTGAAGGGTTCATTGCAGATAACGTTTCTTGCGTGTTGGATTGTCATGATGATGATCCAGACCAATTTTGTCGCGAACAAGGTGGCCTCGGAGCATTTGCCGTTGGTGTTGGAGTATTTTCCACTGAAACCCTCGACTGCTGGACGGACTTTCAGCAACACTGTACGTGCTTTGATCAGTTCATTAAGCAAACGGATGGATGTGTCGCTATAATAAGTTTGGAGTTCGTTGGGAATGGTGAGTGTTCAACCTGTGCATCTTGGTTGTTGAGGCTATCTGATCCTCTCTGACACCCTTTGTACTTGTAGATGTGCCTTCCCCATGCAGCGTTGTCAGGGTGATTGCGATGCTGACGATGATGTAAGTTGCTCTGGCTGAAGAAGTACTATTATGACATTTTGACAGGCCGACAGCTCATCATTCTTGTTACGTCCTTGATCACCCCAAACAGTGCGCGGATGGGCTTGGATGTTATATGAGAGATGGCTTTGAGCCAGTGCCAGGCTGTGAAGGCGGGGAGGAGGAACCGTTGGCCTACGACTACTGCGTCGTCCCTCCAGTCTGACTGTACACAAAAAGGAGAAGAGACAACATGACCTCAGGTCGAACCTATCCAGAAACAAAAGTTTCGTAATCCATACTAGTATCTACTTTTTAAGAGCATCAACTTTCGAGCAACCGGTACACACATTACTACGAATCTACATACCCAATGTCAGGGCCAGGTGTGGTTGTCTGTCTCTCTTCTTGTGGTAGCGGTACATCGTACCGTTGATTGCCAATTGAATACTGATCCATACCATAGTTCACTTACTTTTTCATGCACGGTACGCACTATGCTCGCTTTCAGACCCACAAGGGAAGAAAAACATAAAGCTGATACTTGGTGCTGCTCGAACAACCTTCTTCTCTCCTCTCCTCTCCGCCCTGTCCTGTCCTTCTTGCTGCGGTGACAAGGAAAGGCCTTACTCCGGCTAATGTGAAGGTTTAGTACAGGATGACTTCTTTTACCGCTGACAGGTGTCAAAATGGATTCTCGTTTTGGCCAAACCAAAATTGGAAGCAGTCATTTCTAACAAAAAACGTCATTTCGCGAATCCTGCATAGCAATGACTAGTTCCTAGAAAGAAAAGATTGAAGCAAATAAAATAAATTTTACCACCATGGCAACAGTGTTGACCAAATGGCCATTAGCTTTACCAATACATTGATCTGATTGACTCTTTTCTAGGAGTAGCTCCCCAACACACTCACAGACCCACCCCTGGAAAAGAGTCAATCAACTCTAAGGTTTCCTATGGAGCCTCTAAAAAATCAGGCTTGGATTCCATTTTATATCCATTCTGCAATGCAATTCTCCATGGGAAAGGTGCTCCTGTCCTCACTCTCAGCACTCAATCTGCACTGTAGAGCCATGTAAGAGGATGGTTGGCTTTGCATGAAGACTGGAGAACCCATCCCAAAGTTTCAAAGGGGATTGTCGACTCCAATGTGGCAAAATTGAGCAGATTTCTCATGTTTGTAGTCAGCCGACCACTCAAAGCAGTAGTAGAGAAGCTGCCACTTGTTCCTTTTGTAGTAGCAGTGTCGTAGGCTCACGGCCACTCCGTGGAAGAGGAAGCGATCCTCATTGTCGCTCCGTGAAAGCAGGAAGCAGACAGAATCAAATCCATCCGCCGAACCGAAGAAACTTGTTGCAGGTGCAATTGACGAGGCGTCGCTTGTCGCTTGTCGTTCTAGTAGTAGTCGCATGTTGTTGCCTTAGCGGTAGAGGCGTCGTCGTTCCGTGAAAGAGGAGGCATCATGGTCGCTCCGTGGAAGATCCACCGAATCGATTCGTCGAACGGAATGTCCTGTCATCGGCCGATCGTCGAACGGCCGCTGTTTCCAGCCTATCCAAACAACAGGAGCCTGTCATGGTGGTGAGTAGTAGCCTTTGTTAAGAGGAGAATAGCGGCTGTAAAGAGGAGGAAGCATCATCTTGATAGAGGAAAGATAGAGGTATCGATCGAAAGAATGAAAAAGAGGACCATATCATACGAGTGGCTTGGATTGATCCTTCGGAGTGATGTCAGTTGAGTTTATTAGGGATGAGGTTATTGCTTCCTTTAAGTCTTTTCACGGAACGTTCCTGGAAGTTCCGGCTCGCATTCGAATGTCGTACCGGGAGCGGGCTTGCGTTTGTCGCGATAGTTTAGATTCAGCCTGTAGTCTAAAGAAGTAACAGAAAAGCAAGTCTCGGCGCGCAAGCGCTGGCTTCTTTTCTGTGCAGATGTTATGTGTTGTGTTCCCAAAGTATCTTCTTTGCAGCGGCTCAAACTTGGTTGGCGAGCGATCCGGTATTGATGGCTGATACAGTATCACAAATACCTTCCCAAATCCCAAATCCTGAAACAAGACAAGGGTTTTGAAGACACCATTTCATCAAAGCCACCACCATGAAGAGTCCATTCTTCCTGCTTGACCTTGCTGTGCTGAAGGACACCAGCGCTCTTGGCGCGATCTCTAGTGCCCAAAGCGGGGATCCATGTGAAATCGAGAGCCTAGCGTTGGGTGAATGTTTGATCAATCAGCCGCCTTCATGCTTGGAAAGTGTGACATCTTGTCTAGAACAAACAGACACTGGAGGAGAAGAGTTGTGGAATGAACAATGCCCTGACGCTGATTATGACGCCGACATTCTTGGTCCAGAAGAGTGCGCGTGCATTGAAAACTTAAATTGTGACTGGTTGCCATCATGCTGTGATGCTTGTGCCTCTGAAACACTGTTTGGTGGGTTTGCTTCGCTGAAGCCTTTGACTTTGATCACATCTGCCCCGATACTTCTTTTTGTTCGGGAGGCAGCCCAACCGCGGCCAGCCCAATGCCCACCACCCGGTCGCCAGTACCGCAAGCCCCAGCACTGGCAGTACCGCAAGCCCCAGCACTGGCAGTACCGCAAGCCCCAGCACTAGCTCTAGAGAGACAGCCCCAACACCAGCTAGTAGCTGCTTTTCCGCAACCGCTTCCGTTGAGGTTTTGGGCAAGGGACAAGTGGAAATGCAGAAACTCAAGGTGGGCGACAAGGTGCTTACTACCACTGAAACTGACAAAGCTGAATATCAGCCGGTGTATGCATTTGGCCATCGAAGCCCAACCACTTTGGGGCGATTCCTTCAAATCACCACTGATACCGATAGTCTCGAAATTACCGGTGAACATTTGCTCTATGTTGCTGACAAGAGCTACCCTGTCCGTGCTGATTCCATCATTGTTGGAGACAAGCTTCAGACTGCCGACGGTACTGCCAATCAGGTCAAGAAAATCAAGACTGTCATGAAAGAGGGGCTCTATGCGCCATTGACTCCCGGTGGAAAGCTTGTCATCAATGGCATCCAGCCTACATTGCTCCTCAGAAGGATGACCAAGAGCTGTTCACCACTCTCAATGGTCTCATCACTATCCCCCACTCATCTTACATTCATTTGTATCTCGCCCCTCTTCGTGTTGTCTGCCTTGGGATCTCTTCCATGCCCTGCCAACTAATGCATGAGCACGGAATGCCTCTCTACATCAAATGGGGGATTGATGTCATCAATATGGCCCACCGATACTCCAATGTCTATGCAGAACTCATCTTTTTTGTCATCAGTGGAATTTTTTTGTCAGGATTTGTCGCTGTGGAGGCTCTCTTTGGTGCTACCCTGGGACCACTGATTGTCTTTTCTGTTTGTGTTGCATACTCATTTGTTCGCAAGACCCACACTGCCAAGACCAACAAAGTAAAGACAGCCTGATGCCCAGCCAGATATGTGCCAGCGGTATACATGATCCCTTCAGTTAGGAGATGTTGACCTTGTGGTGGTTCGGTCCTGTGGATAGTCGTTGACGGCGCTGAGGAGTTTGTTGGGCTAGCAGCCCAACTGTCTTTCTATGCCCTGGTGTTTAGATTTATTTGTGTGATGATGAACAAGAATTGAAGAGCAGCATCATCAGTTGTGTCAGATGGATATGGCAGCAGAAGCAGTGGGAATAGCCCACTGGCTGGCTTCCATAGGTAACCTACCTACTCTAAACCCCCCTTATATATCTTTATTGTAATGATTGATTAGTAAGGCAGGTTAGCTTCAATTTCTCTCAAGGTGTTGAGTATTATTGAGTGTTCGTCCAACATAATGCTAAAGAAAGCTACTAGTAGGCAGAATTTTTGATGGTTTTGATTATCTACTAGAATCTAGAATTGTGAGAGATTAGAAAGAGAGGAAAACGAATCGAAAGTGAGGGATGGGTACTAGTTGACCTCTGGGCTACTAGATAGCAACATGGCCCAAACTCTCCCACCTGGTGCCTTTCCCGCGTCTCGCCCAAAAGACACGAAAAAGGAAGACAGGGCGGCCAACCAGCTGCTCTTCTCTTCTGGTACCGTACTAGCTAGCTAGTACTGGTAGGTTACTAACCGGTACCTTCCTCTCTTTGCGGCAACACTTGGAGTTTCCCCACCACGCCGTGGAAAGCACAACCGAAACGATTCCGAGTCTTTCCACGTTTCAACGCGTGTCAGTCCCTCATTTCCTCGTTGACAAACACGAAACAGAATCAAAGAGGAGTCGAATGAATCAATCGAATCAAACAGAACAACATCAACAGAAGAAATCACCTAGGCGACAGTCGTACTCATTTTCCTTTCGTTGAGCGACGGGTTTCATTCAAAGCTTCACCATCATCATCATCACAAAGAGCATCCGTTCGCAAACAAAAAAGACAAGAATACAACACAACACAACACAACACATCGACCATGAGCAAATCATTCAAGGAAGAGCACCCACTCGGTACGTTTTGCTGATGACATTGTGGATGGAGGGAGTTCTCTGAGTCGTATCTTGTTCCACGATAGTGTGGCGTTCCGTTTGGATCTCATTGAAGAGGAAGATAAAGGTCACCATCGTGGTGTATGCGTGCTTCAATGAGGGGTCCGTTTGCAGAAACTACCGTTCGAAGGCCCGGATATTGTCATCTTTTTGTTTGATGTTTTTTCATTTGAGATTTTTGGGTTCTCCTTGTCTCATCAAGATTCCTTTTTTTCTTTTTCTTCTTCTTGTTGCTGTTGTTCTCTACACACAGACAAGCGCAAGTCCGAGGCGGAGCGCATTCGTGCCAAGTATCCCGACCGAGTACCCGTGATTTGCGAAAAGGCGGACCGATCGGATATTCCCGACATTGACAAGAAGAAGTATTTGGTACCGGCGGATTTGACAGTGGGTCAATTCCACTATGTGATTCGCAAACGCATCAAGCTGGCACCGGAAAAGGCTCTCTTTCTATTCTGCTCCAATTCCATCCCACCCAACGCCGCACTCATGTCCACCGTCTACGAAGAACAAAAAGACGAAGATGGATTCCTGTACATTCAATACAGTGGGGAGTCGACGTTTGGAACAACAGAAGAAGAGATCTAGAAAACAACAACAATTTGCCGGCCTCTTTTTCGATCTTGTCATGGCCTTCATTTGGCAATACTGTGATGTTGGAACCGTTCTCTTGGGGTATTGCTGATGCCCTCGTTTTCAATGGAGTGGAACCTGTGCTTGGCCTTTCTAAAAAATACTAAAAACTAAATAATAACAACCTGCCTTTGATATACTATATAGAGGAGACTTGAGTCTTTCATTTTGAACCACGCTCACATCGACGACTTGACTTAATATGTTGCTGGCTAGATGTGAGTGTTGATGGGTAACTCTTCCTCCCGTTCGGGGGGTATCTTCGCCCTCCCGAATGCTCAGAATGGGCTGGGCCCGGTGACAAAACGAATGTCAACCAAGCCCCTTTCAGCAGATATTCGCTCCACAACGAATAATTCAACGACAAAGAAACTGTGGTGAGAAAACACTCCACGCGGCAGCGATGCTACTGTACGGTAGGATCCATGGTTCCTGCAATGTCCTAGCAAGCTACAATCTGTTGGTGAGAATGATCAATAGACAGTACAGTGCATTGCTGATTGTTGTTGTTGGATTACAATATTGTATTATGTTTTTATCCTTTGAGCCATGATTTGCCCTTTTTGGGTTTTTCGGTCGTCCCTTGCAGTTCGGTACCGGCCGTAATCATGCGGTCTGCGGCAAAGGCCATTCTCTGCCCAGATTCTATGGCTTCCTTTTTGGCAGGAGAAAAGGCTTCCAGGTTGACGGACAGTGCTTTCATTCCTTCTCCGGTTTTGACCAAGTTGGCACCCACTTCGGCAAGGGGTTTTCGTTGCAGAATGGCAGCACCGGCAGCCTCCAGGTTGGTGGCACAGCCATCGAGATGGACAATGGCCGCGGCTGTGGTCATGCAAAATTGGAGTACATACAGTCCCGGGCAATAGAGGGCAACATTAGAATTTGGAAAAACATGGCAAGTTTGAGAATCGTTGCAGACATGACACACTACTGATAGCTAAAGACACCATTGCATGCAATGCAGGCCAATTCCTGAGCAAACCAAGAAAAACGAAGCTACACAAGCAACTCGACTTACTCAGTTCTCTCACTAGATTTTGGTCTTGATCTACTTGAGCTTCTTCCACTGCTTGACGGAGTTTCCCCGTCGCTTCGGTGAGACAGGTTGCTCCTTCTCGCAATTCATCGCACACTAACTCGACTCCCGTCTTGAAACGACACGAGGCAGCGGCTTGGGCCACACAATCTCCCGAATTGCGAATTTGGGCTCCCACTGCCGAGAGAGCCCCTCCATACAAGTCCATGGCCGAAGTCAAATCCACCAGCAATTCCCCACTTCTGGCAAGAGCCTTTCCCGAGTCCATCATGGGAATGGCCGCTGGTTTCAAGGACATGGACAACAACACGCACATGTTGCGATTGTGGTTGGATCTGTCCGCGGGAATGGAGGGAACAAATCCGTTTGCCACCGGCACCATTATCAGTGCCCAAAGAAGACAAAAAGACATGCTCCTTCTTGGAACCTCCATTGCTATAGCTGTTGGTGGTGATCTAGTAGCTAGTGGCCGCTACTTTGGTGCTCTGGATAGATACGAGTGTATCCTTTGGGGTGGTCGGTTTTCTTCAGATGTGAAGCGAGCGGTTGTCCGCCAACGTCTTTATCGTTGACCTTCACAGCTCTGCAGGCTGCTTACGTCAGTTCAATGAAGGACGGGTGGAACGAGCAAATTGAGGAAGCAAGCTGAGCAACTCAATAATATCCTTGAACTTGACCCAAGAAAAAGAAAGATGATACAAAGACCAATAATGAACGCCTTGTCCCTCTTGTTACTGGTGGTTTCGACTGCCCATGCATTTGCTCCGGCTGCAAGGAACCATGCCCGGTCCAGTGCTCTAAGATCCGCGGCTGCGGCCGAATCCGTCGCCGATGGCTTGGTCAAGACCGTCACCAAGGCAGGTCAAGGACTTCCCGTGCAATTGGGCGATATTGCCACTGTCAAATACAGCTGCTATCTACCCAATGAACCAAAGACGCCACCCTTTTCCAAGTCCAACCAACAAAAAATTGTAATTGGGGATGGAACCATGATCCAGGGATGGGACAAGGCCATTCGCACCATGAGGATTGGAGAACGAGCCGTGGTCCGGATCAGTGATCCCGCTCTGGGTTATGGAAATGTGGGAGTTCCTCCCCTGGTCCCTCCGGGTGCCGAAATTGAATTCGATTTGGAAATTTTGGATTCCCAACCTCCCATGGCCAATATTGATTTCGACAACTTGGCCATGGCCGACAGCACTCCGGTAAGTTCATTATTTCTTTTTCATTCTTTTTGGAATGGATCTTTTGTGCAGCATGGACTCACACACTAATTGGCTTTTGTTCTTTCACTCAGAGAACTGCGCAACAAATTTCAGATGCCTACGAAGTCCGAAGAGCCCAGATGGCATTGGAACCCGAATTGGAAGGACTGGAAGGATGGATTGCAAAGGCCAAGAATTTCTACTTTTTCGGTCTATTTGAGGGCGAAACAGGACAGCAGGCTCCCTGGTTTTTGAGACCTAGCATCACCTTCCCAATTGCGTTCCTGGTGGTGGGAGCAGCATTTTACATTAGTTATGCTTCCGGTGCCATTACCGAACGAGGTGCACAAGTCACAGACGAACTCGATGAAATTATCCTCAGCAGCGCCGCCAGCGACCCAGCGGGTTTCTTGCTGGCCATGACATCCCTGGTTTCGAATAGTATTGAAATCTGATGATGAGGCGGTGATGACACAACGAATTATATCATTACCTATGAAACCAAATTATTGGCTGGTCTTCTTCTAGCATCAGCGATCTCAATCCACTCAGGTATCAATCAATTCTATAGTAAGCCTGCGCACAAATAGGTACTCTACAACACTCGTGACGATCCAGATCGTGACAATATCTAGCAGTGCTGGGAAGGGTGAACAATGGTCCTGTCTGGCGAGGGGTTGGGTCTGTGGTCGTGGCCTGAGGTTTGGAACTATCAATGATTGTAGACCGTGGTAGAGGTGCTAGCTACATGTACAGTAGGAAAGAGAGTGGAGAATGGACCAAAGGACAATGACTGCCCAGCGGTAGAGATCAAGAGCACCATGATCGTCGTCTCAATGCCGGGAGCTCATCATAGTAGCAGGAACACGAGATCCACGGAGGCACATCCTAACTGCTCGAGCAAAGGCAATGCTCAATCGGGCGGAAACAAAGGAACGAACCACAGAGTAGGGATTGGACCACTTCTTAGCCAAAAGCTGGGAGAGCCATTTGAGAACAGCAGAACCTTCAGAGGCAAAGATGTCGTCAGCAGAAATGACAAAGGGTGTGAAGTGCCGTCTTTGTGCAGTGCAGGGAGCCATGTACTTCGTCTTCTTAGCCTTCTTGCGCTGGGAAAGGGCCCCCTCAACAGTGATACCACGATCACGACGACCATGAGACGCAACATCCATGAGGGAGACATCAAAGATACAATCCGTTCCTAGATGCCAGAAGCCCCGAACCCAGAGATCATCTCAGTCTTGAGTGGCAGGATCAGAGGGAGTAGGAGCATTGAAAGAATAAGAAGGGTCGATCAGAGCCAAGATTGATAGGGTTCGTCGCTGACAGCAGAGGGAAGGAAAGTTGTAGAGGTTAAATCAGCAAGCTGGCGCACAATTTGATTGGGGCGTGCACTGAAGCAGAAGTCCACTGTGGGAGCAGGAAAAGGCATGGTGGAGGCCAAACTTTTTTTGCAGCCATCATATTGGGGTTGGAGATCCGGAGGAGTCAGTCCGTTGTGGAGATGGAGGGGCATTGGGGTTGGAGATCCCGAGGAGTCAGTCCATATCGGAGATGGAGGGAGTATTGGAACTCTAGGGAATAGAGGGCAGTGTCATCTACTGACGAATGATCAATCGGAGTATTGCTTCGCACGACCCCTACTTGCTTCTCTTGTGGTGTTTTGTTCTGTGTGCTTGGAGCTACTAGTATGCATAGCTAGCTACATTTATTCAGCATTGTTAGTTCTTGGCTACTAGTAGCTAGTACTTGTAATTCAGGGCCCTGCTCAGGCTGCCAATAGCCGTGCCTCGAACCTGGAACTTCGTACATGTACCCTTCTAAAAGGTGATGCTCAGCGACGGGAACGCAACGCTGCTACGAGCTACGAGTAAAGCACGAGTAAGCGTTCGAAAAGAGAACATGATCCTGGACATTTTCTCGCGCTAATATTGTACGAGCAGTGGGGTGATCACAGGTGATGCCTCTTGGTTGAGGGGCAGGCCGGAAACCGGAGAACCAAAGCATTAAAGATTCCTCAACGGTACAGTCATCAGTCATCGGTCATGAGTCATGAAGCCCAGTGTGAGCAAGCAAACTGCACAAGCAGCTTACTAGCAGCTTGTCAAGCCGTCCCAGGTCCCAGGGAGCTACTCTAGCTATGATAGCTAGTAGAAAAGTAGAAAAGTTGCTGAACCTAGATACTAGACTATTCTAAAGTACTAGCTAGTAGTGAACATGACGACCGACACCGATTTCACCGTAACCAGGTAGAGTGGAGTGGAGTGGAGTCGAGTCCATCCACCAAATGAAAGGATTCTGTTGGAAGAACCAATCAAGCTAGTAGTAGTACAGTACACTGTAGTAGATAATGATGGAGCATAAGCATTCTGTTTTGGATTATTAACCATGGTGTTTTATAATAGTAGTGTAGTCTATGGTACAAATTTACAGCGGCGAAGTAAGAGTAGTATGAATGCAAGCAACCAAGCATCTATGGATCCTCAAAGGCACGTTCCACAGCAGCTATTGGAGCGGTTTCTTGTGTGGCTTCCGATGTAGGAGCCGCGGATGCGGAAGAAACCACGTCTCCCGTCGGAATGGGGGTCCACTTTTGTTCAAAGTCCGGTGGGATCAAGACCGAGTCGAGGACTTGAATAATACCGTTCTTGACGAGCAAGTCTTCAAAGAGAACATTGGACTCGCCGACGCGGTTGGGATCAACGGAAATGGTCAAGTTGGAACCTTGCAGTGTGGGCACTTCAAAGGTAATGATGGGAAGGGTCAAGTTGGTGTGATTGGCCGTGAGCACGTCTTCAAAGTCCAACAATCCGGTTTGTCGGAGTGCTTCGGCTTCCCGTTCCCGGGCGGCTTGAATGGCCAAATCGGCAAACTCAATGAGATTTCCGGGGATAATGTGATACTTGAGGAGGTCGGTCCAAGCTTCCGTGTTGTTTGGAGTGAGAATGTTGGGGAATCGGAGGGGAATGTTGGCAAGGGCTCCATTGACGGGAGAAAAGACGGTCATGGGACCTTCTTCGGAAAGAATGCCGGTCAAGTTGGTGAACTCGACGCGTTCAATCATGGCCTCGAATTCTGGAAAGAGCATGTAGAGGTCCATGACGTATTCCGTGGCGGAAGGGGGAAGGATGAGTTGATCGACCACGTGAATGATTCCATTGTCTCCAACAATGTTGCGCTCAGTAATAGCAGCATCGTTGATTTTGGGAGCGTCGCCGACAGCCGTGACGTTGAGGTTATTAAAGTTGAGAGTAGGAAGTTGCTGTCCGACGACGGTCAAGTTTTGCGTAAAGAGGTTGCCACGGACAATGTGGTAGGTGAGGACATTGACCAAGTGTGTCCTCCACGTTTCGTTGAGGAATTTTTCGGGAAGACCGGCCAAGAAGCTGGCGTCGGTAGGAGCAAAGATGGTGAATGGATTCTCGGGTCCGTTGACCACGAGTTCTTCCAATCGACCGGTTTCTCGGAGAGCGTCCAAGAGCATGGTGAATTCACCTCGAGCTTGGAGAATCCCAATGATACTGGTGGGAAGAGGAGCGACGGTAGGAGCGGCAGTCTGTGGAGCGGCCAAGATCCGATCGACGGCATGAATGACGCCATTGGAAGCGAGTATGTCTCCAATGAGGATGGGTGCCAGTTCGACGACATCCGTGTCGTTGGACATGCGACGAACTTCTGCTGGAAAGTCAGCTTCCACCCAGTTGCCTGGAGCCACGTGAAAGAGCAGAGTCTCAATCAATGTTTCCGGTTGCGCTTGCCATTGTGCCTTGACGGCTGGAGCCACACGCTCAAATGCTTCGTTGGTGGGCGCCAAGATGGTGTACGGTCCAGGGCCTTGAAGGTTGTCCAACAAGTTGCTCTCGTCCAAGTATCGGACCAGAGTGGAGAAGAAGGGCATGTCTCGCAGTTGATCGACTAGGCTTTCCGTAGACGATGCGGGCAACAAGAGACTGTCGTCGATGGCGTGAATGACTCCGTTGGTGGCGAGAATGTCTGCTTGAGAGATGGTGCTGTCGTCAATCATGAGAGGATTGGTGTTTGTGACAGTCACAGAGGAACCTTCGGCAGTGTAGATTTCCATGCCAATGGGGAATTGTGTCAATTCGGTCGACAAGAGTTCATCGTTGGTCACCACGTGATGAGACAAGAGGTCACGAATTTGAGGTTCCCAGGCAATGGGGTCTTGCAGCCAGGTGCCAACAGCTTCTGGAGCTGTGGCAAAGGCATCATTGTTGGGAGCAAAGAATGTAAAGGGACCCGGTGCTGTCAGAGCGGTCGACATACCGACCCAGTCCATGGCCGACAAAAGCGTCGAAAATTGTTCGTCGGCCCGTGCCACACCAACAATCGTGTCGGCTTCGGCAGCTGTGTTGATGGCAGCAAGAGGAGGAGCAACACTGACGGATTCTCCTGATCCTGTACTTGTAGTAGTAGTATCCACCACCATTGTCGTCGGTCTTGGAGTAGGAACGGGCAGAGCATCTGTGACGGGAACCGCTGCTGTTGGCTCTGATGTGATGGTTTCTGCAGGTGTGGGGGACAATTGGGGGTTGGAGATACTGATACTCACTTGTGCGATGGTCACTGGAAGGAACAAAGCGGCAACCAAGGCGTTGAATCTCATTGTGGAGGGCGTCATTATTGTGGTTGATAAGACTGCTTTTTTGTTGTTGTGGTGCACGAGGTGAACACTATTATTTTATGGATGAATGAGCCAAAAGTGCTTTTTGCTCCAGATTATTTGCTTCTCGGTGATGATGGAAGAGGGCCACAGATCAGATCCAATCGGTGTTTTGTTTGTTGGTGCCACTTGCCGATAATGACCCTTGATTCTGACCACTGTTTGTACACTGTAACAGACAGTACAAACATGCATGCTGCAATGACAGTGAAGCGCAATTTGCGCACTCCGATGGCATCTCGAAGCCGGGACTGTGCGCTGAAAAATATGTCCAGGATTCATCTATACTGTAAGAACAACACTACAAGACGAAGGGGAGCGGGGAAAGGATTTAAAGCCAACGACGGATGTAAGCCCTCTTTCTGAGGCATATCCAACCGTGGACATTTGAACTTGCTCTTTAAGGAATCTGCACCCTCATAAGATGCCAGGACGTGAACTGAACAGCTCTTGAACAGCAAAAAGGAAGATTAGAATTAGCAATTTACAATAATCAACAATATTTCACAGGTTAAGTCTAAAAAAAAGTGAAGAAATTAAAATTTAATAGCAAAACAAAGGGAAAATATAGCGTTTTTGGCATCTTGTTGCTCAAATCAGGTCTGGTCGGGGCTTATCTCGAAGGGAGAACATGCACCCATGTGCGACAGAACCAAGATGACCATGGCTACTATCAAATACTGTACATTTTAGTCGAAAACTCGAAAAAAGAGAAAGTCAAATCAGTTACACCAGTGTTGATGACAGGGGCTTTTATGTATTAATACTTCAAGCTAACTTATTAATCTGGTTCTTAATTCTCAGTTTTCGTGAGTTGATCGCTGGTTACTTGAAGTCATACATTTTATTTATTGACACTTTTCGCAAGAGAACCTTTTCCCCCTGTCAAAATGGTACTAAAAAGCTCATTCAAAAGACAAACTGAGGTGCCCTTGAAGTCTTTTTTGGGCGAACATTCTCTTTGTGCTGGCCAAAGATGACTTTCTGGAGAAGAATGACCTAGGCTACTACAAGGCTTCCGGGATTAGCATAGTGGTACAGGTGCCCTTGGTCTTTGATGGGTTCTGCACATTCAACCAAGATCTCGCCGTGATGACCAGAAAGGTTCCTCAGTTCCCGTTTGGCCTGGTAAAATGACCGTAAATCGAATGCAAAAGTGTCGCCAGAGTTGTCCCACAAAAAAGAGCTCTAAAAGGCTAAAAGGATCCCAGATCATCCCACAGGATTGGCTTCAAAAACGCGCCAAAGCAATGCTACCGG